GAATTTTTTTCTTAATAATAGAAAGCAATTAATGAAAATGCTTAGGGAAAAAAAGAGAAAACCAAACATTGAAGAAAGTCACATTCTAAAAATAATAAATGGGATATGAATTGGATTTTTGGCATTAAATCGAATAGCCTTAAAAACAATTTCATATGACAATTTCAAGAATTGGATCACGGTCCCTTAAATACAATTTCATATGAATTCTTGAAAGGCAAAAAGAAAAAGAAAATCTTTAGAACCTAAGAACCTAGATCTGAATTGGATCTCATAGTCTTCTCATCTTCTTTCCTCCATCTTCTCTCGTGGGTTTGTTGCTATTTAAGAAATTCGAGCAAGAGTTTAAAGCAAACGGAAAAAACATATATAGTTTTTTTAAGTGTTCTATAGATGATAATCTTAAATGGTTTTGAAGTTGAAATGAGTTTATGTATTGTTTCAGTGCCAATTCCAAAAAATGGAACAAACATCAATAAAACTTCATCAATCACCTTCATTAATGCCATCAACATATCGACCCTATATGAGTTAACTCATCCCTTTCCCTAACTCACTAAAACTGGAGATCCGAAAGCTCCATCATCACCCTTTTGATTTCGTAATTCGAAACCTCCAACGTTGTTGTCGTGTTTCTCTCCTCAATCGAAGACTCAACATACCATGCTCCATCCCATAGCTTCCTCCTACCCTCACTTGCCATGAATGCCAATGGCATTCTTTTTAGGTTATCAAGTAATCTATTGAGTTCTAGCAAATGAAAAGTATAAGGAAGATTTAGTTTTCATGAAGAGAAGGAGGAATAATTTTAAAAAGAGAAAACAAACATAGGCAAAGTAGAGCATTAAATGCCTAGGCAAAAAGAAAGAAATAGTGGCAAAAAAGAGTGGCAAGATGGAAAACATGCTTAAAAAATAGCACCAATAACTAAACAACTTGCAAGGGGAAAGGAAAAAAAAAAACAAAGAAAATAACAAAGCACATCGCACGGCCATAAATGGAAAGGAAGAAGTACCAATGACGGAGGTGCAAAACAGTTCATCTGGGCCTTGGTCTATAGTAAATTGCGAGAGAGTGAGCAGTACCAAATACTAATAAGTCCACCTCTTTTATTTGTTTTGTTAATTTATTTTTCAATATAAATATTTAGTATAATGTAGACATAACAAAAAAGAAAATTTTTAATTTTATTTTTTTCACCCATGACTGTAGCTTTTTTATCTCTAGTTCAATAACAGTTACTCTTTTGTTTGTTTTTAGTTCACAACAATAACTACCAAATTAATTATTTTAAATAATTATATAATTGTTTTGCGCTTAAATTTGAAATTGAAATTTGGATTTGAATAGATATTTTTTATTTTGTTGATTTTTTAGTTCATAACAAAGGCATCTTCGTTTTCTAATTAAAAAAGGTTTTTTTTAAAAAAAACCACAAAAACTAGCATGTTATGTCTTTTCTTTCACCTAGTGTTGTTAATCATTAATTTGATATATGGATGCTCTCCAGGTATTTACATGTGTGATTTAATTTTCTATCAACTATGAGTACAATTTTACCCAGAAAAAATAATTAATTTTGATTTTTTTCAAGTAAAGAAAAAAGTTCATGCTTGAAGTCGAAGATGTAAATTGATTGTGGTTTGTCATAAAAGATTACTGACTATTAAAATTTCCTTGAAACGAGTATTTGATTTTTTCCATTAAGTTTGCAAATTTCGATTGATGAACATGATGCCTGATGGGTTATTTTGGATTAATTTATACTTTATTTAGTTAGTGGCACCATTATTTACAACCTTAAGATATAAAAGGCATAAATATCCATGGTTACCTTTTGGATATGTTTTGATCCATCATTTACCCATTTTCCAGTAGGTTAAGCCCGTACTTATTGCTCGAAGTCGAAGATGATGTTGGAGTTTTGATTTGGTTCCTATAGTATTCAAACATTTCAATTTAGTCACGAAAAAAAAATCAATAATTTAGATGCATACTTGGTAAAACTCACCGTCTTTTAATAAATAAGATTTAAAGCCCATTGTTTTGAAGAAATAAATTTAAAAGTACTCTATTTATGGAAAAAAAAACTCCTATTAATACCATGGTCTCTAAAAAAATTTATAGATCATTAGCTTTTGAAAGTGTGTATTTTCGACACATGTATAAATGTTTTAAAATTTTCTCAAAGAACTAGTGATTTTTTCAATAATAACGATATTTTTTTGAGTTAGTTTAATTTATTAATTTTTTTTATTAATTTTTAAATAGGCCATCTATGTGGTGTGTATATGTATGGGTTCGAATTCTAATTAATGTCAAAAAGGATGTGTCAATTGTCAATCAAATGGGTCTTCAAGGGTCTTGAAGGCTCAATATTAACCTACTAAGCTTTGGAAATAAGTTTTGTGGGCATTAGGCATGTTTGATTGTTTTATTAAAAATAAAAAATAAAACACCTATCTTCTTATGGTTAGATTACACTATATTTCAAAAATTAACTCCAGAGCACATGGATGCTGAATATGGATATGGTTATATATAGATAAATCAATTTTTTAAAATTTAAGTTTGATCATATATATATATATATATATATATATATATAAAAGAATACAATTTAATTGTATTCTTTAATTTATCAATTTGCTAATTTTTTTTAATTGAATGTGATTTTTATCTTTGTTATAGATCAAACTAGCATATTCCCGTGCATTACCGTAGAGTGAACTATACAACATTCTAATATGTTCATTTATTTAAAATATAAAATTTAAAAATAATTATTTCAAAGGGTCACGTGAAATTTTTTTAAAAAAATCAAAACTTGTATTTCATATTTTGTCTGCAGGTTTAATTAAACGAAAAGTACTGTAAAATTGAGTAATATAATGTTACTAATTAGATATTTTTTGATATAAACATTATTTTATTTAAAATATGTATAATAAATGGTAATCAAAATAATGATACAACGAGTTTTTGAATTTTAGATGATTAATTTTTACTATATATTATCCAACTCGTAATTTGTTAATGAGATAGAGAGATCACCCATAACTAGAAGACAAAAAAGCTTTATCAAATCGAGAATTGAAAAAAAAATTAAAGATAAAATTATCCATGATAAAAATTAAATGATAAAAAAAGTAAAGATCATAAAAGAATGATCAAAATAAATAAAAAAAACTTTCACTAAAAGAAAAATTTTTTTTAAAAAAATTCATTATACATAAGCCAGGAATAAAAGTAAAACATGATAGAATTTTAATGACCAATTTTTTTAAAAAAATTAACTAAATAAGAACAAAAATAGAATTTTTTTTACTAAAAGGTAAAAAAAAAAAAAAATTAGAATAGTGAAACTGTATTTAATTTTAGCATAGATAAATAATAATCAAATATAATAAAATTTTAACAATCAGAATTTGAAAAAAAGAATAGAGATAAAATTACACACAATAAAAATTAAATGATAAAAAAAGTAAAGATCATAAAAGAATGATCAAAATAAATAAAAAACTTTCACTAAAAGAAAAAAAAACTTATAAACAATAAAACTTAAAAAAAAAAAATCATTAAGCATAAGTCAAGAATAAAAGTAAAACATGATAGAATTTGAAGGACCAAAATTTTAAAAAACATTAACAAAATAAGAACCAAAATAGAAATTATTTTTTACTAAAAGGTAAAAAAAACTTAGAATAGTGAAACCACATTTAATTTTAGTGTAGATAAATAATAATCAAACATAATAAAAATTTAACGATCAAAATAAAAAAATATAAAAAATCAAAATATAAAAAAAAGTTTTACTAAAAGTAAAAAATAGTTACTTATAGAAAAAAAATCAAATATAATAAATATTTAATAATCAAAATAAAAAAATTACAAAATAGGGACTAAAAAAATTCTATTAAATTTAATGGCCAAAACAAAGAAAAAAAATCATAAAATAGGAATTATAATAGAAAGAAAAGTTTAACTAAAAGCAAAAAAAAAAAAAAAAAAAGAGGATAGTAAACTTTATTTCGTTTTAGTATAGTAATGATAAAAATTAAATATGATAAAAATTTTATGACTAAAATAAAAACATATCACAAAATAAGAACAGAAAAAACATAATTTTTTACTAAAAGCTAAGAAGAATATTTATTTTAGGAATAAAAATCAAATATAATAAAATTTTAATATTTATTATAAGGAAAAAGATAAAATATAATAGATTTTTAATGATCAAAATAAAAAACATTAAAAAAAAGGAACCAAAAAAAAAAAATCCTAAAACCTTGGCTAAACAATCAAAAAAAGAGGCGAACAATGATATAATAAAATTTTAATGGTTAAAATAAAAAATTATTACAAAAGAGGTATCAAAATGAAAAATAATTTCCTGGCTAAGCAACCTAAGAAAAGGAAAAAGAAAAAGGCGAATAGTGAATAAACAGACAAAACAGGGACCAAAATGAAAAAAAGTCCGTAATTAAGCGACCGGGGAAAAAAAAACTAAAACAGGGAATGAACAGAAAAGTGCTATCCGTTTTCTTTTAGTTTTTTTAAGAACAGAATTGTATTTTTCTTTTCAATTAGCTGTGATGTGGCTGTTATCTGTAAACAGAGCACTGCAAACTGAGAAATTATTTAAGGTCCTGAAATTCCAAATCAGATAAGGATTCTTTTCATTTATTATCTACCATGTGTATATTTTTTCACATGCAGGATAAAACAAACTCTTCCATTAAATAAAAGAAATTAACAACTCTTCATCTTCTCTCCTTCCTCCGCCGTCTGAGGAGATTTCAAGGGAGGAACAAAACTGCTGATAATGAATGACATGTATAATAGTAGCAGCAATAATATCAAATACAGAAAAGAGGCTACTTGTTGGCAAGGGAGGAAGGAGAAAGCAGTGGAAAGATAGAAACCCCATGCTGGTGATGGGAAGGTTTCTTTGGGCATGCAGTACAAACACATCATCCCCTGGGAATGCACATGAAAAACTACATGATGTAAATTGCAAGAGTTCCAAAGCTCATCGGAAATCTCCTCATAGCTTTATACATGTCATTGAGCTTCTTTTGGATTCCATCAGCAGTTTTGTTCCTCCCTTGAAAGATGAAGTAGCGACTAATGTCCATAGATGAAGAGTTGTTAATTTCTTTTATTCAATGAAAGAGTTTATTTTATCCTACATGTAAAAAATATACACATGACAGATAATAAATATAAGAGTCCTTGTCTGACGTAGAATTTCAGAACCTGAATAATTTCTCAAACCTGCAAACATGACCCCATCGTATAAAAATTCATGTCAACACGTGGCAATCATGTGACTAATTAAGAAAAAAACATTAAAACAAATTGTAAAATTATTTCAAGTCCACTGTTCAACAAACCCACCGCCAGCTCCACCACCAAACACACCACCTCCGCCAAATCCTTCTCCACCACTGGCACCAGGAGCACCTCCAAACCCACAACCAAAACCGTTACCATCACAGCCACCTATTCTCCACCTCCAAATCCACCATCCTCACCAACACCTCCTCCCAATCCACATTCAGCTCCACCACCATCACCCTCACCAAATCCAACACCAAATCCACCACCAAATCACCACCTCGTCCAAATACTCCTCTATCTCTTAGCCCATCACTAGCATCACTGCACCAGCACCACCTCCAAACCCACCACCGAAACCTCCACCAGCACGGCCACCTATTTCTCCACCTGTCATCGCCACTCTAATTTTAACTGTCAGATAAAGGCACTTTCTCCTTTTCTCTCTCCTCCCGATTTCCGTCTCTTGCGTTTTATGTTCTTTCTTTGGAGCATTTTATGCAACAGATGCACATTGGTTGGATTCTTTAAAGGGTTTTGATGTTAGTAGAGATTGCTGCTTAAATGCACGTTAGATGTATGATGAAATGGTTCAAAGAATACTTCGTTTTCTGTTGTCTCTTTCCTGTTTGCTAAAATGTCACAAACAAATTCATCTTCATTTCTATACGGGAAACTCTTTTTTTTTTTTTTTTTCATGGTTTTTTACATGTATACAAATCTTGAATGTATATTGGGCTGTCTCTATGTCTTCACTTGATTGATATATGGAAGAGAGTGTGTTAGATTTAATAACAAGAATTATTTCTTTTTCTTGTACAAGATAGCTGAAAAGTGCTTATTTTTTATACCAATCAAATGGAGGAGAAATAATTTTTGGATAGAATTCTTGGTCATCCACGCGAATCATGCAAGTAAGATTGATTGTAGCTTTATGATTTATTGTTGGTGGTAAGTTATTGATGTCAATACGAGACATTTCCTTATAAAATGTTTTATTGGTGACAATTACACCGAACTCCTTGATCGTGTTCTTGAGGAAGCCGCTGCTGGGTTTTATTCGCATGTAAAAATTTTGCGTGTAAGTTGTTTGTGGTGAATGAGTTCATCTTGTAACGTATCAAAAAGAATTCTTATTTTTCACACCATTGAAATTGTCAAAACCTGATATGGTTTTGTTTTATTTTATTTTATTTTTATAAATGAGTGGTGATTTCTTTTGTTCTTCTTCTTGTTTTGAATCTTGTTTTAAGTTCTTTTTTCTTAAAAATAAAAAATAAAAATTGCCATGTGTGGATATGAGCTCCATATGATGGTGTCACTTTTGCAAATAATGTACACATCGTCACGGAGTTAATAGAAAGAAAATTACAATTTAGTATGCTCATAATAAAAATTAAAGAAAACATACTCGATTAAAAAAATTGACAAATTGATACGGTACGAATGTAATTAACTCATAAGAATATATTTTTTTATAATTGTTTCGTTATTTTCATAAACAATAAGTAACAAAATATATAGTTTTTTCCAGAACATATCAAAATAAGTATTAGAAACAATATAAACTGTACAGTGTGTGAAACTACATGTCAATGAAGAGAATTCAAAGTCACGCTTTCGTTTTATTCTGTGATTTTCGATCGATTATTAGGATAAGTTATTGGAGAAAATTATATTATTTTGGTTCGATAATATGAAATTAAAATATGTACAAACTATTAATGACAAATATAAAAAAATTTCAACCGAGTATAATTGATGTTTTTTCGTGATTTTAACATCTTCATATCTAAGCTATCTAAATGCACTAAAAAAATTCAATTTAAATGTATTTTGAAAGCACGCTCAAATGCATTATCAAAATACAGCCTAAATTGAATGCCGACTGCAAAACTACAAAAAGCACATGTGCAGTGGAAAAATCGAACACGGGATGGCCATAACTACAAAAAGCACATGTCCATTGGAAACATGGAACAAAGGATGGCCATGGGCTTTACTGCATCGGTTTTGAGCACAATCCTCACCATAGAGTCAGAGCAGATAGTCGTCTGTCAAAACAAGCCACAAGACGATGAGAATTCTAAAGAATATTATTTTTTGTCACCCTTCGCTGCCCAATAACCAAAAAGCTAGATACGTTAGTGAATACAGATGGCAAAACCAGTTGGTTCCGTTTTTACGTCTCCTCTTTCTTTTCTTTCTGTCCCATCAAAGCTACTGCAAGTATCAATACTTCTAGATGACAACCAATATTGAGAAATAAAATTAGCACGGAAGAAATATTCTGATGCTAAAGCAGTTTAAAATGCATATAGGCACAAAAACAGCCACTGTAAGAATAGATACCATCGAGTAAAAGGGTTTATGAATCCAATAAAGGGCTCATGTAGCCGCAACTGAGTTTTTCATACATCGTTCATTTATGAAATTGAAAATTCAAATTTATCTATTGTATCTTATAGTTGATGGTATATTTATAATTCTATACGTAATTGTAGCTATTATTAGAAAAACCTTAAATTTGACATCAATATGGATATAGTGAGAGTTTTTTCGGATAAAAAGATAACATGATGTGGATGCAATATGTTATATCGAAAAATATGAAATATTCTATTTATTTATTTTACGAAAAAAAGTTCTACGAAAGTTTCTCAACTTAAATAAAGAAGTCGAATTAAATTTGTGTAATTTATAAATGAAAAAAAAGAAGGATAAAACTGGTATATTGAAAGGCAAACTGGGAAAACGCTTTCATGCTTTTTTTCTATGAGCAAACCTTAAAAATGTCCCCAAACTATGGCTTTTATCTTGATTAAGTTCTCAAAACAGTGAGTTATCAAAATATTTTTTAAAAATACTTAATAAAGATTATTACATTCCAAATATTTCACAAACTTTTAATGAAAATAATTAATCAAAACAACACAATTTCTTGAAATAAATAATATAATTTGGACAAAATTCATGAAAGAATATGGATGGATAGATTAGGTTGAAAATTTTTGAAACATTAATAAAACTTGTTTGAGGAGTTAATCGAGACTAAACATGTAATTGGGGTTAATAGTTGTTGGCATTTCTATATTCTTTCCTTTGTCTTTGTCATGTCTATTTATTCATTTTTCATCTCAAGTTGGTCTTTTTATGTTTGGTTTATATTTTATTTTTGTATTTTCATTACATTGTTGCTTAATAGTATTAATCATGTCATTAGCTCTATAGAATTGCGACATGCATCAATTTGTTTCTGTCTTAGTCTCGTTCCTCTACTCTTTTTTTTTTTTTTTTGTTATCTCAATCTTTTTTTAACTAAATTTAAATAAATAAAATTTAGAAAAAAAGTGAAGATATATCTAGTCATTATCTCTATAAATTCAAAATTTATTTATTTTTTTAAAAAAGAAAAAATATATATTTTTAACTAAAATATTCCTTATGGGTTTAAATTAATCTACACGATAGTAAGTAAATTTTGAACACACACACACACACACACACACACACACACACACACACACACACACACACACACACACACACACACACACACACACACACACACACACACACACACACACACACACACACACACACACACACACACACGTGTGTGTGTGTGTGTGTGTGAAGAATGTTTTAGTTAAATTTTTTGATGATATTTATAATTTTATAATATCTCAAACGAGTCAAGTGTAATATAGTTATTACTGCTTTTACAAATTTCGTAATTTGAATCAAAATATAATATAAATTTTGTTACAAACTTTAATCAAATTAAGATAATTGTTCAAAATTTTAATTAAAACTCTCTTCACATTAAAAAAAAACCTATAAATATTTTATATTATACTCAAAATTTGCTTACTATCATAGAGATAAATTTAAATCCATAAAGATATTTTGGATAAAAACTATTTTTATTTTTTTCTTTTTTTAATATTTTTTTTATAGAGAATGACTGAATATGTTTTCACCCTTTTTTTCTATTTTCCTTTTTCAAAATCTATTTATTTGAATTTAGTCATTATCTCTAAAAATAAAAAAAAACTAACAAAATAAATAAATAAAAAAGATAAAAATATTTTTTATTCAAAATATTCTTTATGGGTTTAAATTTATCTATCATATCTCTATGATAGTAAGAAAATTTTGAATATAAAATAAAATATTTATAATATATTTTTTTAAATGTGAAGAGATTTTAGTTAAATTTTAATAATTTTGAATAATATTAATAATTTTATAGTACTTCAAAAGATTCTATTATAATTTACTTATTTTGATTTACAAATTTTTTAATTTGATTATGGAAGTGGAATATAAATTTTGTTATAATTTAGTCAAATTAAGAATTTTGTTCAAATTTTAACTAAAAATCTTTTCATATTTTTAAAAAGTAATTTAAATATTTTATTTATATTTAAAATTTACTTATTACTTTAGAGATAAATTTAGATCCATATGGATATTTTGCATAATTTTTATTTTATTTTTTGTTGTATTTTTATGGAGAATGACCGAACATGTTTTCACTTTTTCTTCCAAATTTTATTTATTTGAATTTGGTAAAAACAAAAAGATGAAGATGGAAAAAAAGTAAAGTGACTAGATTAAAATAAAAGAAAGTTAACAATGTGTTATAATCTTGTAGAATTAACAATGTAATTTAATACTGTTAGCTTAACAATTAACGAAAAATTAAATAAAGAAGAATGAATTTAAGACGAAAAATAATAAAGAGACACAATTTAAAAAAAATAAAAAATTAGAGGTTGGAATAACCATTAAACCTATATAATTTTTTATTTTTTTTGGCTTTGAAAGGTTGGTCGCTTCTCACTTCATGGATGGGGATTCATTCCACAACTGTCCCAAACGTTTACTATTTGGTCCGAGCAAGAGCTTCGCACCTGACCTTTAACGTAACAGACGGAACCTTTATTTGTGCCAAGGCAACTCTAAAGTTTAAATCTTTACCCAAAACAAATAATACGTGGGCCCAGGTTTCTGTTTGCAACCGAATCTTTCCGTTCAATTTTTTTGGCGTGTAGCTCTCTAGTCATTGTGGTATCATTTTTTAGGAGTTTTCAAAAGAGGGTCCATGGTTCGTGAGCAATCCTTTTCTCCTCGGGAACCAGAATTTCTTCTGCAGCTTCCACACGGAAGACATCCGCACCGCCTGACATTTTTTCACTCACTTATGTTTTGTTTTCTTCTCTCAAAGTAAAATAACCAAAGCCAAATCCATCCCTCACCATTCTTTCCACGTGTCAACTCCTCTCTCTCTCTGACATAACTGCAGTCAACACTGCGGCTTTAGCTATTCAGACTTTTGGTGCAATAACCTGCGAGGCACGGTCAGAGCTACCTAAACCTCTATAAACCTTTTGATTTCAAACGTTTCGTGCATTTGTTTATGTCTGGTTTTCCAATTTGCTGAGAAGAAAAGAACAGACAAGTTTATAGACATATAAAGGAGTGGAGAAGAGAGACTAGGCATAACTAAATAAAAAATTTGCTGTTGCTATACTTCTTTTGGTAGCTATGGATCGCTATGAGATTATGAAGGATATTGGGTCTGGAAATTTTGGGGTGGCCAAGCTGGTTAGAGATAAATGGACTAAAGAGTTCTTGGCTGTTAAGTTTATTGAGAGAGGACAAAAGGTCTGTTTCCTCTGTTTTACTATCTGTTTACCTGTTTCAATTTAAAAAATTTCCATATTTATCATACTTTATTGCTAATCTCTTGAAATTCAATAATGTTTGTTTTTACCATGAGTGTTCGTCCATCTTTAACCATATTCAGGGTGCTTTGTCATTGGGTTGATTGAGGAGTCGCTTTTGTGGTTGCAGATTGATGAACATGTGCAAAGGGAAATTATGAATCATAGGTCATTGAAGCATCCCAATATAGTTAGATTTAAAGAGGTTTGTTATTGAACTTTTTGTGTCCTGTAATGCTATGTTGTCTTGTGATTGTTGTATGCTGCAGTAAGCAAGCAAGGACTCCATTTTGCTCCATGAAGTTAGATTTTTGTCTTTCTTTATTTTCTGTTGAAGAACCAGAAAATATCTTGATATATATTTTCCCCACAGTAAAGTTGTGTATCCGTAGCAATTTTATAAGAACTAATTGGAGTAGATGTTGTTAGTTTTCTCTTTCGAGTGTGACTTCCTAGAATAGATCAATTCAATTGGAAGGAGAATCTTTAATTTGAGATGTTATCCTTCCAGGTCCTGTTAACTCCTACCCATTTAGCTATTGTGATGGAGTATGCTGCAGGAGGAGAACTCTTTGAGAGGATATGCACTGCTGGGAAATTTAGTGAAGATGAGGTAAAGTAGAGCAAAAGAATTCGTGGTAATTGTTTTATCAGTATTACATGAATATTCAAGGTTGTCTGGAAGTTGAATGAAGCGAAATAATAGCATCTAGAGGCAGTAAATCTTGTGCTTTGAATATTGTTTATTACTTAGCAGCATATAATTCGAATAATGTTTTACTTTTGGGTTTTCTTTGTTTTTCTGCATCAGGCAAGGTTTTTCTTCCAGCAACTGATATCGGGAGTAAGTTACTGTCATTCAATGGTAAGAATTTCAACCTTCCTTTTGTCAATTTGTTTCAATTTTTCTAAAATGCAATTTGATTTTGATATAAGGAGATATCTATGCTGCAGCAAATCTGTCACAGAGATCTTAAGCTTGAAAATACACTCCTAGATGGAAGCACAGCGCCCCGTGTCAAGATATGCGACTTCGGGTATTCAAAGGTAAGGTTTTTTAGTAATGCTAAAGGATAACATTTGGGCATGAAGTTTCACCACCTTTTTGGTTGCTAATTATAGTGGCTTATTGTGTAGTCAGCTGTGTTGCATTCACAGCCTAAATCTACTGTAGGCACCCCAGCTTACATTGCACCAGAAGTTCTATCGAAAAAGGAATATGATGGGAAGGTAACTATCTTTCCGACTTTCTCTTCCTTTGTGATGTACATGCTTCTCATTTTAGTTGTTTGAAAGCAATTCGTACTATGTCTTATCTTCAAGAGTTATAGATTGCAGATGTATGGTCCTGTGGGGTTACCCTATATGTAATGCTGGTTGGGGCTTACCCCTTTGAAGATCCTGATGATCCAAAAAACTTCAGAAAGACAATTGGGGTAAGTGGGTAGATAAAGTGACAAGCACCAGATGAATTTGGTTGTACTGCAATTATTGAAGTTCTGCGTATTTATTTGGAATTCTAGTTAAACTATTATTGATCCGATTATCACTGTTTGCTCCTTTCAGAGGATACTCAGTGTTCACTATTCAATTCCGGATTATGTTCGTGTTTCTATAGGATGCAAGCATCTTTTATCTCGAATATTTGTGGCTAACCCCGAAAAGGTAACTTGGGCTTTGGTGTCAACTGCTGCTCCATCCATGGTTATAGTGAAAATAAAAAAGGGAGAAGATTTCAATTATATCGTGATGCTTTCGTACTGATGAATGATGATACAACAAGGTATCTAATTGTTGGTAGGAAACTCTGGGCACTAATTAAAATAAGCCCTTGCTATTTGTTTGATGCCTGGTAGAAAGTTTCCAGCTTTTAATGTAGGAGACGTGAAGGCATGTAAGCACCTTTAAGTTGAATGATTGCGGGGAACAATTCTCCTTTTCTTTTAATTCCTTAAAGCATTACCACCTTTTCTTTTTTTCTTTTTTTCTTTTTGGGTCCTGTTTAAGTCCTTTTATTGTTCTCATCAGTTAACGCTTTTGTCTACGTGTAGAGAATTACTATTCCAGAAGTAAAAAATCATCCATGGTTCTTAAAGAACTTGCCTATAGAACTGATGGAAGGAGGAAGCTGGCAAAGCAATGATGTCAACAACCCGTCCCAAAGCATTGAAGAAGTCCTGTCTATAATACAGGAGGCAAGAAAACCTATCTTCCTGTCAAAGGCTGAAGAGAATTTGCTTGGAGGCAGCATGGATCTTGATGACTTAGATGCTGACGCAGAACTTGAAGATATCGAGACAAGCGGGGATTTCGTGTGCCCATTATGAGCTAAACTGTGTAAACAAATTGTCAACTTTCCTAAGGTATTGTTGCAATGATTTTGAGCACCAGATTTTTGCTAATGAAATCTTTACGCTGTATAATCCTTGTTTGGCCATGTGGCATATGGATGCCCTTTTGTAGATCCCTTGTGTTCTTTTTCGTCCAATCTATTACAATAACATTGTCCTTTGTTGGTGTTGAATGTTTGCTCAATTATATAGAGTGATATAAGATAAATTATTTTGTAAGGCGTTGACGTGTGTAGCATGGTTACACATTACAGAAACTTGTAGAACCAGATTGCTTGCTCTCTTCTTTAATCGGCGTAGTTCTATCATATAATAAGAGTTCTTCTGCCAAAAGAAATGTACTCCAGATCTTGAACTCTTTGATTTTTGGATAGAAATGGTGAAATATATAGCAGGCACCTAGTCAAGCTGAAATCTTTTTAGTATTGGCTTGTATATATAACATATTGCATGTGTTCTCTCGGTTGGGGTCAGAGAGTAGCCATGTTAATTTCGGCTAAGAAGTGATGATTATCTTTAACTACTGGTCAAAAGCAAATATTCTCTATATAAAAAATTCATTGTAATTGGTTCATGAATAAATTTTAGGGTGAAATTGAATATTTCTGTTAACACTAATCAAGTTTCCATCTATCTTTTCCTGGTAAACACAAGCACAAATTTGGAAAATTATACCACTCTAGTTGCTTGACTCTTAATTATTATCATCTTTTGCCTTCCTTTGCTTGGAAGTAACTTGTCCTTGAGCCATTTTATTGAGGCACACTGAAGAATTTGGATCCCGCATATCTAAGGTGAATTCTGCCAAAAAACTCTATACTGAACTCTCGTTTTAGCAGCAGCCAGAGCTCATCACAAGTGATCTAGACGTCAGGAGCACTCAAGAAACCATTGGTGACTCCACGGATGGTATTGACGTGCGCATTGACAAACAGAAGGACAAGACAGTTGCAATTAATCTTGGTCGGAGTTGCAGATTGCTTATTTTGAAGCCAAACTCCAGCCCAATTATGTTTTATATGCTCTGAAATTTTTGGGCTCGAGTCTTGTATATTGCCGACCAAACCAACAATAAAGGAGCCCATTAGTGGACAGGCCAGGGCAAACCTCCTAGTGGGCAAGTTGCAGGAACAAGTTGGAGCGGAGGGGTGAAGGCGGCTTAGATATTTTTGAATCAAATGCGAGCATAGCTATCAGTAGTGGGATGTCCTCTAGGACAAACCTCCTAGCGGGCAAGTTGCAGGAACATGGTTTCAGGGAGTAAAAGCCGTAACGACTAACGAGGTTTCGTTCAGCGCCATCGTTTTGACTGCTATAAAAATTAATCAAGCTGAAAATAGGAAAGACTAAATATAGAAGGACCGGTTTAATACAATTGACCAACAATTTAGTAAGAAATTTATAGGATACATTATAAAGATCATTTGGTCTAAATTGATCAATAGTCTTCGGTGCTTTCATTATCTAAATTATAACATATACTAAAAAAGAACGAAGCTTATGTTGTTAAGCTCTTGCTACATATAGTAAAACCTCGAACTATATCGTTTTGAGTTTTTTTAAACTCAAAATGACACCGTTTTCATTAAAAAAATTTATGATTTTTTTTTTAATTTTTTCGATTATTTACGCTTTGATTCTCCAAGTTATTAATTTATATAAAGCTATCCCTAATTTTAATTAATATTACAAAAAAGTTCATATAATTTTTTTTGCTGGACTGAGTTATTTTTTTCATTATTTATTATTTAATTAAAATAAAATTTTACCATAATTAATTGTTATTTTTTCTATTTTTATAAATATTCATTAACTAAAATTAAATATTCTTCTAATATAAATTGATTAAATGCCTTCTCCGAATTTGATTTTTTTTAAATAAATAATTAATTGTATGTATTTTTTATTTATCAGAATAAAAAATATTTCTAAAATATATATAAATTCAATTATAAATATAAATATAAAATAAAAATTAATTAACCCTCGTTGTAAAAAAATTTATTTAATTTAATATATATATATATATATATATATTAAATTAAATAAATTTTTTACAACGAGGGTTAATTAATTTTTATTTTATATTTATATTTTTAAATTATTTAAAATATTAAAATATAAATATAATAAATTTATCCGCATCAACATACAGGTATTGGGTTAATAAGAATTAAAAGAGCGTTATTATAGGAAGCATCCCAACTAGAGTGATTGAATATATTCCAAATGAACTCACAAACACCAGTTTCAATAATATTCTACTGATTTGATAAAAGATTGGACCCAAATCACATTCCTCAACCTTATAAAGATGCATATCAAAAATTTTCATTTTACGAAGGTTTAATCGCATCAAACGTTTCTTTATTCTAGATATTTTCTTAATACGACTTTTGTATTTTTTTTATTAAACCCCTTTTTGCATTCTCCAATTTTTCTTAATATGAACCTCTTACTATTTTTTAGTTAATTTTTTGATCATAATTGATTGCTAATATAAAATAAATCAGATGGCAAGACATGTCATATTTTCTTACTCAGTCAATAAAAAATAAAAAGATTTTTTCTCCTCCTCTTTTCTCTATTTTAATTAACCCAACTTAAAAAAAAAAAAAAAATGTGAAAACAGTCGGAGGAGAGGCACGTTTTTCCAAAATTCTTGATATAACATGAATGAATGGTGTGAATGCAATATGTGAGGAGTTTTATAGTAGTGGTGGAATTGGTCTGGATACAATATTTCCAGCATTTAAAAAAATGGTCTCTATGGAATATGGAGAGTTTAGTTGAACGGAAGATACCTCAAGGAGGAGCAAACGCTGATAGAGGAGGAAATGCAGTTGTGGTAGTATCCAACTTTGAAGAGTTGCACGTTGAGAATGAAATAGTGCCCAGGCCATGCCAGCACTTGGCAACACTACAGGCTTTTGGTGCCAGCAAGAAATAGCCACTATGGCAGTGCGTGGAGGAATGTGGTGCTTGCTGCAAGCTGGTCAAAGGCCCTGCTTTTGTCACTCCTAAAGAAATCTTCACAAGCCTTTCTGATACTGGGTTTACTTCCTTAATTTTTACAATGCACGTAATTTGTTTGACGAAATGTGGCAAAGAAGAAGGCGAAGCTCTTACTGTGCAGAATAATGATATTGAAACGAAAGGCCAGGTATTCAATTCATGAGAATTCTGATGATGCAGAAAAGATAACAACGGATTGGACTAGATGATTTTGCCATTGCATTTGACTGCATTTGTTATGAGCTCTTCTTTTTCTCATTTCCGTCTCCATCTTTATTCTTTCATTCTTTTCTGTTTCTAATAGAGATAATTTATGGCAAGTTGTAGAAGTCTTTTCTGGATATTTCAGTCTCTTGTTTCTCATAAGATATTCCTGCAGGAGTCTTCCAAACCGTTTAGAGTGATAATTACCACCAAACTAGTGGTTTTGTAAAGAAATTGGTTTTTTAACAATGATCCAACTTTTTTCTGTCGATCGACAATATTTCTGCCAGGTAAAACATCTGTCCATTTCTTGGAAAAAAAGAGTAGATTTAGATAGAAATGTGAGTAAATTTGGAGCTATTTCGAGGAGACCATAGGAGAAGGGATACAAATCTGGAGGTGGAGATGGTAATTCTTTATAGGACTGTGCAGGAGCCTATATCTCTCTTTTGGTGAACACCGTAGTGAGGTGTCTATAGAGAGGCTGATTACTCTTAATAGGCTTTTGAGATGACAATACCTTGCAATTATTCCGATCTAGAATGACAGGATTAACAAGTAGTCAACTGGAGCTAAAAGTGGGGATATACAAATAACTATTCATGTATGCATGTTTGCGTATAACTATAGTTTCCTTCTGTTTGGGCTTGTGGTGGAGATTTTTCGACACTGTAACTTCTTCGCGAGTTAGCTTAACCCAACTGGATGAACTATTATAATTGTCTTTGAGAATTTTTATAGGCAGTTTAAAGTAGCTCTCATATTTAGGTTTTTTAAGTATTGTTACTTTCTGACCGAAATTAAGTACCGGGAGGAGAAAAGGAATGGCTCTGTACTTTTTTGGCCGGGAGGTTGACTCTGTTAAAGAGGTTGTTCGTGAACAAAATTAACCTCGGAGAAGGTCGGAGAAAGTAGTGATTCATATCGAAGTATATGGGGCTTATACCTCCAGGTGGAGTTTAAAAGGTGTGAGAATATATCCCTTTTTGAAAAACACTCCAGGGTGGTTACAACATTGTTCCTTCACAGTCTAGGGCTCACCAAGACTTTTGGAAGCGACTGCAGAATAAAAGCGGGAGATGCCAAATTAGCCTTCTCGTTATAGGGTTGTCCTTGGCCCGTAGTTTGAGAGGTAGATAGGCCAATCCTACATTTTATTTTTCTAGTTAAGAAAATATTACCTTTTTTTTCTTGTTAAGAAATTTGAGACTGCCGCAGGTACACCAACTTCCTTTCTGGTTTTTACAGTGAGTGGAGCACCTGAAGCAGAAGCTGACCCGGAGCAGTTTGAAGTGGAGTCCAAATAATCTGAAGACGGGAGTGCTATCTTGGTGGACGAAGTTGGACGTCCTTCGAGGACGTCTTGTGAGAAACTTAGGAGAGAGGAAGCGAAGTCCTATTTAGAAGATAACTCCCCCACCACTAGTGAAAATGAAGATAACTCCCCTACCGGTAGTGAAAGTGAAGACCTAAAGAGGTCTTGTCAATCAGATTCTTCCTTCTCTACGCCTCAAATGTCTACTCTCGAGGGTATCAGGCAGGAGAGGAAGGAAATGGGCCTGAGTGGAGCTGGAGTCCGCCTATACCCCAGCAGCCAAGACTCAGCCTATACCCCAGTCTTCCACAAGTCAGGCCGTGACTGTCGTTATACTGCCAGAGTTGAGGCACCTACCCCAACTGGAGAAGCCTCTCCAAATATGCGACATCTAGGAAAATAAGTTGGTGAGAGCTTTGTCACTATGTTGCGAACTGGCTTCGCTCTTGATTCATTTCCTCCCTTATAGGAGGAAAAGGTCCATATGAAGAAGGAGCTCTTTGGATATGCTTCTACTTTGTTGGGCAAGAAGGGGAGAAAAATACCCGTCTAATGGCCGATTGAGAAATTAGTATGGTGATGAATTAGGATTTGTGTGGCTTAACTCAATAATTAGGCTCCATGAAAATTATTGATAAACTAATCTGTGATGGAGATGCAGTATATTACTATGCAATTCTTGAATGTTTCAAGATTCACTGCTCAGCCGCTTTGTAAGAGAAGCCTTTAATTGTTGTTTTGAAAATAGTTTTTGCCTAATTCTCGTCTAGATATACTCGGTTTCTTGACCTTAATAATTCATGAAGTACTGCAATCTTGACAGCACAAGATTCCACCGAGACAGAAAAATATTGATTTTGTTTCTGTCCAACTCCCCACCCCTCTCTTCAGAATTGATATTTTGGAGTCTAATGCTTTATAGATATCTGATGGCCTGTGTGTTTGGGACTAAAAGGTGTTTTTAATATAGCTGAACGTACAAGAGTTGACATCAAGTGCCATATATAGCATAGACCGGACAAACGACAGTACTTGTGTAATGTGATCTTTAAATTATAGAAGAAGCACGCATAGGTTATTGTGAAGGCAGTTTCCGGAGGGCGTACATAACATTTTAGTGTCATTTAGATCAAGTCATGATCCGATCCTTCTTCGATGGATTCTGGCTTCTTTCGGCTTATCTGGTATTCTCCATACAAGTAAGAAGCAAATCCCCACAAGCACATAGCCAAGGCCATGCCCTTTTCTGCATTAAAGACCTCGCGCAGGAAAATCACAGCACATGCCTGTTGGACTGGAACCAGAAGAGATGACACAAGCCCTCCCAATAGAGATGTGGAGCTGAATATCACCCCTACACTTCCTATAACTGACAGCTGTAACACTATTGCTGCTATTAACAGTATAGTGTAGTAATTTGTCTCCCCAAGACCAAATTCTGCCGCCTCTTTGGCTATAGCCTGAGAAGAACACAAGTTCATTAGAATTGTTTTGAACAATGTGACATTAATGATTCAAATAAACCTTTAAAGTTCACATAGATGATGAAGTTTGCTATGCGATTTGCTGAGAGAGAGCAATTTGAGGGAGCAATTATGATTGATATAACCCATCCCGAAACGAGTGCAAAATGATGTATTTAAGCAGAAATTCCCCTAGACTGCCTAGTTAATTAGACGATGAAATTGGTTTGTTCGGCTGACACCAATAAATTCGGCTTCTTGGAAGTAATAGGTAAACTAATATTTGATTGTGATAGATTTTAAATACTATGAAAGTTGAAATTTCAAGCTTCAGTGAAGAACTGATTTGTAAGAAAAGCTTGCGCCAGCTTTCTGTTGGAAATCTTTAATTCAGAGTCTGTTATATGGAAACTAGAAAGTACTTCTAATTTTGTTTCAGAGTTAAGCTATGCAGAATAAGAAATTATCAATTGATCACCGACCTGAAAGTCCTTGTTGATAATCATGGGGATAGAGCAAAATAGAGAAGCGAACATCGATATAAGGAAAAGAACTTGCAGGACAAGGTCAAAGGTAATGGTTTTCCCAGCCTTCAAGTAAGTAAACTCCAATGCAGGCATTATAAACCCATGAAGAGCAGCACCACTAGTGGTCATGAAGAAACCGATAATATATTTTCCTTTGGACTCTCCACTGGGTCTATCTCCATTCATGTGAAACCCAAGAATAATAGACCCAAAGGTCATCAAAACCACTGCATTTATCGAGTAATGTGTGAACTTATGCTTGACAACTATATATGCAAAAATTGCAGTGAAAGCCAGCTGACTAGAACCAAGAAGAGAAGAAACGGAAACTGGAAGATATGATAGGCCAAAGGAGTACAGATAGCTATCAAGGCCAACAAGAATTCCCAAGATGGCACTAGCAGCAAAAAGCCATCTTGTGACTAAAAACCTACCAGCTTGAGCTCTAGATTTAGCTCTCATATATGCAATGGCTATTGGGATGATCAAGACAGGGAAACCAGCTGTAAGTAGCCAGGCACCAAGCCAGTTACTCTTTCCTCCATGCAAATAGTAAATCCTCACAAGTAATGGACCTGCCACTTGACCAACTGCCATTAACATGCAGTTTAAAAGTACCAGAAATAACTTCATATGCTTCTTGTTCTGATGTTTTGGCTCATTATTGTTTCCTTGTTCTGTATCCATGAATCTTGCACTATGTATGTAGGATGCCTGCCTGTATTAGCAATGAAGGGGGTGTGAATACAGGCAATTTAGTATGTTGGGCAACTTAGGTTATTTAACTAATCTTGTTTATTATATTTGGTAGTCCAAGATATTACACATAGATTCAACGAGTAGTATCTAATCTTTGTGGAGAAAAACAGAGATCACTAGCAGTAGCAATATTAAAAAATTACAAAAGTAGAATGATGCTGAATCCACTAAGCTAAATAATCAAATATTCTATAAAAACTCCACTATCAGATTACGATTGATGTAAAGAACTCTCTTTTGTTTTTTGTTTTTTTGCATTTCCTTTTAGATGTTCTTAGAATATGCGATTAGATTAGTTTTCTGCTTTTGCTTCTTAATTAGGTAGACACATGCTCTTTCGCATGGGGATGGGCCGATGGGGTAGACATCATGTTTTGTTATTATCAATCAAACTTTTGCCTCTCACTTTTGTTGGTCCGATAAAGGAATTGATTTCATCCAAAACACAATCTAATAATTTAGTGGTGTCTGAGGATGAATAAAACGAGCACGCAAACTCGATGGATGGCCATGTCAAAGTAGACAAAACATCACATCAGCTTAGTCCAACAGAACCAGGTTTTATTTGCGTTGGACTTGAAAGATCCAAGTGTAATACATCAAGCAACCACCAAAAGCATGTAAAGGACGGGGTTAGTTGTGGACGAGAGAGAGTCAGAAAGGAGCCTAAGTATGGCTCGTAAACAAACCGAATAACACTAGCGGGCAAATGACGTACACAAAACAATGTGAGAAGATATGAGACTTGCAGACATTGAAGATCATGTTCATTGTCGAAAAACCTTTGTTTTAGCTGTCAAGCATAAGTCCAACAGAATCACCAAGCATTCCTAGAAAAACCACATGTTCCCATGTTCCTCAAAAACTCATGCTCCATTTGATGATTCGTTCACCTAAAGAAGAGGCAGATTCCTTCTACATTAGGGAAAAAAAGCTAATATTGTTCTTGTAATCAAGTCAACAATCTTAGTTTATTTATCTATGTGAGATCATCTTCTTCATTTACTGTTGTAGAAACATGTGCCAAAGCTTTAGTAAAAACGCTGAACGAAGAAACGCTATTATATATAGCAGTGTATCTCTTGTTTATGGCAGCCGATTGAGAAATTAGTATGATGATGAATTGGGATCTGTGTGGCTTAACTCAATAATTAGGCTTCATGAAAACGATTGATAAACTAATCCGTGATCGGGATGCAGTATATATTACTATCCAAATCTTGAACATTTCAAGATTCACTGCTGAGCCGCTTTGTAAGAGAAGCCTTTAATTGTTGTTTTGAAAATAGTTTTTGCCTAATTTTCGTCCAGATATACTTGGTTTCATGGCCTTAATAATTCATGAAGTACTGGATTATTAACCTCGGACAGCACAAGATTCCACTGAGATTGAAAGATATCGATTTTGTTTGTGTCCCGCTCCGCACCCCATTTCTCTTCAGAAATGACGTTTTTGAGTCTAATTCTCTATAGATATCAGATGGCCTATATTCTGGGACTAAAAGACGTTGTTAATCTAGCTGAACGTACAATAATTGACGTCAAGGGCCATATATAGCATAGACCAGACAAACGACACTTGTGTAATGTGATCTTTAATCATAGAAGAAGCACGCATCGGTTAATGTGAAGGCAGTTTTTTTGGAGGGATACATAACATCTGCAGTGTCATTTAGATCAACTCATAATCTGATCCTTCTTTGATGGATTCTGGGTTCTTTTGGCTTATCTGGTATTCTCCACACAAGTAAGAAGCAAATCCCCACAAGCACATAGCCAAGGCCATTCCCTTTTCTGCACTAAAAACCTCGCTCAAGAAAATCACAGGAGACCTGTTCAACTGGAACCAGCAGAGATGTCACAAGACCTGCCCATAGAGATCTGGAGCTGAAGATCACTCCGACAGTTCCTAAAAGAAAAAATTGCCATGCTATTGCTCCTAAGATTAGTACAGTGTAGTACTTTGCTTCACCAAGACCAAATTCTGCTGCCTCTTTTAATATGGCCTGAGAAGATCACAAGTCCAATGGAAGTGGCTTAATATATCATTCAGCAATAACAATTGACATAAACCATAAAAGTTTATCTACACGACGAATTTTGATTTGTGATTTACTTGGAATTGGCAATTTGGGTGAGCTTTTATGATTGATATAACATACCTGAAAGCTCGGCAAAAATGATGTGAAGTCTTAAGAGATTTTTGGAAAAGAAAAGAAAGATCTTAGCGATAATTATGCAGAACGAAACGGGATTTGTGTCCCTGACCTCAATAATTAAGCTTCATAGAAATAGCAAGTAAAAATAGCTTTTGATTGGGATAAAGTATATGCAGATCTTGGAGATTCCAAGATTCACTGCTGAATTGATTTGAAAGAGAACTTTGAGCCAAATTTTCATTGGGAAAGCTTTGATCCAGAAGTTATTCTATTGAAAGTAGTTATTGCCTAAGTTTGTTCAAGAAACTATACTCCAGGGCCTTAATCATTCAATTCATCCAGTACCAAAAAAACTAAAAAAATTCATTATGATGATCAGTAATGACTTACCAGAGAGTCCTTGTTGATAATCATGGGGACAGTGCAAAATAGAGTAGCAAACACTGATGTAAGGAACTGAACTTGCAGGACAAGGTCGAAGGAGATGGCCCTGCCAAACTTCAAGTAAATAAGCTCCGTTGCTGGGATCGGTAACCCGTGAAGAGCAGCAGCAGCAATGGTCATGAAGAAACCCAAAACATACTTTCCTTTAGATTCCCCACTTGGTATATCCCCATTCATATGAAATCCAAGGAAAACAGAGCCAAAGATCATCAAAAACACCGCCTTTATTGAGTAGTGCGTGAACTTCTGCTTGACAAGTACGTGAGCAAAAATTGCAGTGAAGGCCAACTGACTAGAACCAAGAATAGAAGAAACAGAAACAGGAAGATATGACAAACCAAAGAAGCAGAGATAGCTAACAAGGCCAAGAAGAAGTCCCAAGATGACACTAGCAGCAAAAAGCAACCTCGTAATAAGTACCCTACTAGTTCGATCTTTAGCTCTCATGTAAGATATGGCAATTGGGATGATCAGCACAGGGAAGCCAGCTGTAAGTAACGAAGCACTGAGCCACTTACTTTTTCCTCCATGCAAATAATAAATCCTCAGCAATAATGGACCGGATACTTGACCAACCGTCATTAACATGCGGTTTAGACATACCAGAAAGAACTTAATATGCTTGTTGGTCTGATACTGCTGTGATGCGGCCGTACCGCAACCAAAAATAAATTACCTTACTTCGACTTTCTAAATACCGATAGGATGAGCAAGGGTCGATACACGGGGACTACTTAATCAAATCTCAGACAAAAAGAGAGGGGGTTTGTTTTGCTAAATAATTAGATCTAAATCAATAAAGAAAATTCAATTAAGAAAATATCGATTCAAGGGAGCAACTTACGGTTATAAACTGATCATTGATCATATATATTTATAGACACGTATTTTTCATTCAAATATTTAACTAAAGATTATCAAGAAGCCGAATAATCTTTACCATCCCTAATATCATTAATCTAAGCCCAACACCCAAACTAAATCTTGTTGAATTAACAATTTGTATTAAGAAATCCTTATGAATAGATTGATAGCATGATTCAAATTAGAAAGGAGTTAAAGGTGGACAACAATTTAACAAGCGTAATATTATTTAATCCATTCTATATCTCTTTTTAAGCAAGTAATAAAAGCTGGTATTATAATTATTCTACTCAATTGTTACTTTGATTGAACTTTATAACAATTACGGATTATAATTTCAACCTAGCTTTAGGTCATACAACTAAATCAATTAATATGCATCTCAATCAATTCAATTATACAATCATACAATCAGTCAAAACAAAGAGACACGGATACTTGAATAGAAAAAAATACATGACTAATATTAAGAACAAGGTCTCACAATTTACTAACCGGATTGATGTTCCTTTAATCGATTAATGAAATTTAGCTAGACATACATGAATGGATAAAAATATGTTTTGTGAATGGTTATTCAAAAAAAAAAAAGATTAATTTTATGAGAGAGCGTGCGGAAAATGTGTTCTATGCCTTTTAATCCTAAATATCCTTTGAAAAATTGGTTGAAGATAGAGTTTCAATGTAACCATAACTATTCCTAAGTTATCTCCCGGAAATCGAATCCCGATTTCTTATTTTGTCTTTGTCGCCAATTTCGTACCGTGTACATTTCGAATTAGAGATTTCTTTCTTTAAAAGAGTTATAGTCCTATATGTGATATTTCCAATGCTCTTGGTCTCGTATCAATTGAAGGTCTAAAACTCGAGTTGCGAAGCTAAACACTTAAACTCGTGCAAATTAGTCTAACCAAAATTAGGAATCGACTTGCTAGCTAATTTCTAACTTTAAACCCACCTAATTTGGACTTAAGCCCTCATCAAAGTTGTAAATATGGGTCTTAAACCTTTATTAGGATTGGATTTTCGTCAATTGGCCATCTAGAACTCCAAATATGAATTAATTACCAAAAATGATTTTGGGCCCAACATGATTCCAAATCAACTTCTTAGATCGGACTTTGAGATATTATTTAGAAATCCAAACAAACTTGGATTTTGACCCAACACATCATTCTAAAAAGCTTGAGATGTCCTCTATAAATGTTATGAAGGTCATTTATTCCAATCCAAACTCTCAATCTACCAAACTCGCAAAAAGGCGGAAGGTTTAAGTAAAAACATGCTGAAATTCTTAACTTTTAAGCGCAATTACTCCTAATCCCGACTTTATATCTTATAAATAAATATGAACATCAATTAACTTATTAAAACATAAAAAATAGCAAATAAACTAAATTCAATGAGAATACAAATATAATATAATGTGTTTATCATGTTGCACCTCATTCTAGGATAATTGCTCCGTGCATATGAGCCCTCCTCTTTCCAAGAAGTGTTGTCGCTCATTGAATTTAATCTTAAAATAGAGTATATTGATACTTTAATTTATGAATAAGTCATTCGCGATAAAATAATATGAAGTTCGGTTTCGCCTAGCAAGCCATTAGAATTTTTCGTGGGTACTCAATTTAAAAAAGAGTAATAAAGAATTTTATCAATCGAAGAGACAAAATTCATCAAGAAAAATGTAAATATCATAGATCGAAAAATATGAAACTTACATCATTAACTATCGAGTCATTCGAAGCCATTTGTTTACAATTGTTGACGGATCAACACTTTTTAATGTACAAGTATGAAATTACCGAAGGCAATAAAAAGCTATCGAACTATTTCTAGGAAAATATAATCTAACCGTTACGGGGTAAACCATGAAAAACTCGAATAAACTTGTATTAAAAAAGTCTTATCTTGTCGATCGTCTCCCATTCCGTTAATCCCCCTTCATTAAATAGCTATTGATTGATAATTACCTTTAATTTAAATTTAAGCGCGACAGTCTATTTGGTAATTGTGCATTTAGTTTTCTTAGGCATGTTATCTCGTCGAAATTAGTTGATTACATATTTAAATGCATCGTTTCACTTAAGTCTTCTAATCTTATCGAAGCCCCGGTTGGTTATATTACCAAAAGCACCGTTTTACTTAAAACTTAATGTTCGTCAAAACTTGGTTGGTTATATTACTAAATACACAATTTCACTTAAGGCTCATTACTCCGTGAAAACTTGGTTGGTTATAAGACCAAATGCATCGTTTCACTTATGACTTAAGGTTTTGTCAAAATTTAATTGGTTCATGAGACCAAAAGCACCATTCCACATATGCTTCACTCGTTCGTTATAAGAAAATGCCATACTTGATCGACATATGATATTGAATTTTGAAGTGCCAACACATGCCTCTCTTTCGACCCTTTAGAGATAAAATGAAAATTTTCTTTCTCGAATGGGCAAAACATTAAATGTTGATAAACATGATAAGACGTCGTGCCATTTCATTTCTTAAATGACTACCCATAATCATTTTAATGCCTCAATTACTCAACAATTAATGGCTTTTATTCTACCGCATCCGAATCGTTAAACCTTAATACCCAAACATCACGACCCTTAAAATATATCATATAAAAAGGGAAAAGTGACTTTCAACATTTTCACTTTTACTACGACTTTCTCCTTTGCTAAATCTTGCAAAAAAAAAAAAAAAATCCTTACTTTTTTTCTCGTCATTCCATCGAACATTTTCTTTATTCTTTGTTAACTCCCTCTTTCGTTTCTTCCATTAAAAAAAGCTCCAAAAGGAAATGTCAAATCTTCAAAGAAAGTTATTTAGGAGAAAGTTACCTTCCAGAGAGATTGCTATCGATTAAATGAGTTCTTCCAAAAAACAAGTGTAATTGACATATGTTTGCTCTAGACTATTACCAGCAATGATATCGCTGATGTTACGATTAGTCATAAGAAGAATCCATAAAAGAGTTCCTATTAGATGTTGGGTCCCACCATCAATATCAAAGTTGTTCATTTTACGACCATAGTCGTTAAAAATGGTAGTTGAGGCTTTTGCAGAGGTAGCATTACAGTTGTAGAAATTGGATAGCTGGATAAAAACTTGAGATGAGTTTCCCATATTTTTCTTTAAAACAGAGACATGAAAAATGGGGTGGATTTTACTGCCAAGGGTAGGTCCAATTTATAAACAACCTATCCAATTTGCCAATCACCTACTTTTGATCATACACATGCTTCAACAAATGTTCCCTAAGCTCTTTAAGAGCCTCATCACATTAAAGTAAAGAATCTTCCACAGCCTGGACCGTGGTAGTACCTAGCACATAAGAGAGAAAAGTTGGTAGAGGTCGGCCATAGAGGACTTCAATGTGACGATCATTGGGTGATTCTGTTTTGGATTTTGTTTCATACAGATAAGGTTCACAATCAAGGCCATAAAGTAGGCTTGATTTAGCTAGGGACAACCCTCATGAATGTGACTTACACAACTTGGTTATGTTAGTAACTTCAAAAAGATAATTTAAGGATATTCATATATCAACCTTCACTTCAATTATTTCAACATCATTATCCTCCTCATTATCATTAGGTCTTTGCTCAGTGGAAGGTTCAACCACAGAGGAATCCAACCTTCTTTTTGGAATACTTTTGACAAGAGAATTTAGTTTCACCAATTTGGGAGCGATACCCCTGCTTGATCCTTCTCTACTGGAATTCCTACGGACTTGTTGAGATCTGGAGGCAAATGATTCCTCCATGACGTGAAATGCTTGAAGCATTTATGTCACCTGTCTACTCATGCTCTCAATCTGATGCTCAAGTCCAAGAAAACGTTGGTCAGTCTGTTCTTCAACCATGCTAGACTCTGATACCAAATGTTACGTGTCTGGATACTCTCACGGCCTGCACCTTAAAAAGAGGCGAAATCGAGACAAGATGGATGTATTTGCAAAAGCAACAGAATATGAATAATAGAATAGATGCCCTTTTATTTGTTTAAGGAATGCATTTGTATAGGCTTAATTACAACGAGAAAAAGGAAGAACAAATCATGGAAAACAAACAAATAAATAGAGACCTATTTCTATGGAAATAAATTAGGAAACAAACACCTGCATGATAGACTTGTTATCGAAAAACCAGCTGTCCATTACTAATCAGAAAGACTTGATCTAAAAGAGGAATTCTTACATGATAGAATTACAGGACGAATGACTCTTGGCTTAGAATGTACACCTGGCTCAGGACTGTAACAGGCCACATATTTATTAACATCTGGATTATGGCGTAAGCCAGGCCATTTTCTTTGAAATAATTTTCCATTTATTTATATATTTTTATTCTCTGTTTATTTTATTTATAGTTTAAATAAAAATAAAAATAAAACGCAACAAAGTCGGTCTAGACTGCAACGAAATAGCGATCAAACGGTCCAAACTCATTATAAAATTCATGACCGCAACAAACATATTGCGACCCACGTGTACGGTAGATAATATTAGCTGCACAAATACACGTATAGGCAAACACACGTAATAAAACTCCACCAATCTAATAAATAGAAAGCTAGGTTCCCTCGTTAAAACCCTAAGCAGAACGCAAGGCGCAGTCTCTTTTATTTTCTCATCTCATTGGGGCACAGCCGCTTTTGCTCCCATCTCCTCAACATGAAGGTTCCTTTCATTGATCTTTTTACTTCCATTCGAACAAAACAAAGTTTTCGTTTAATAAATCGAACCCAATGACTCTGATTTCATGATTCGCTTTGTCTCATTGAGTTCTCTGTTGTTTTGTGTTTTGCAGTTCAACATCGCAAATCCCACGACGGGATGCCAGAAAAAGCTCGAAATCGACGATGACCAGAAGCTGTAAGCTCCCTTTTTTATGTAAAAGTGTATTTGTTTTTCTGGGTTTCGTTTATTAATCAGTTCTATTTACTTTTCTATGTATTTGCTTCTGTGGATTAATGATATAGATGTTCGTTAACTGAGACAAAGATGTTGTATTTGGTTGTTGATATAGTTTCTGTGTTTTAAATATAACATGCTGAATGATTTTTGTGGATTTTGCAAAATGCTTAGCATGTCTTTATAACTGTAGTTAAAATGTTATTTTAGCTAATATTGGGTTATGAGATGTAAGACTTTCTTTAGAATTTTGTATACCTTTATGTATTCTGTGCTGGTATCCATGTATGTTAGTTTGGGTCCTCGATATCTACTGTAGCTGTTGATTAGCACGGATTCTTTATTTTATAACGTAGTTAATTTTTATAGGCAATTTAATAAGGTGCAAACCAAGACCTGTAATAGGAATATTGAAATCAGAATGAGGAATAAAAGATATCATAATCTGATATTAAAAGGCTTTTAATTAAGTACCCATTTGCATAGGCTCACTGTTTGTTTCTATGAATATGGAATGTCTGAAGTGAAGTTTCCTGTTATTATACATTTTCTTGCTGGAGGGACTGTCTTCTGTTACATCAGCAATCTTTCTAGTGCTTTATTCTGTATCAACCAACTAATCTAACTCAATTACTGTAATACATTCAGCAGTAACTATTCTTGGGTAGTAATCAACTGCTAGTTCAGATTGCTATTTGTTTTTGTCTGTGTTGGATTACCAGTTGCCATTCTAATTTTGAATTTTATCAATTTTTTCCTCGTTGACTCTGTAGTCGGGCATTTTTTGACAAGAGGATCTCACAGGAGGTCAGCGGAGATGCTCTTGGAGAGGTATGCACATTCTGGTTATCTATACACTGAATGTTTATATCAGTTACATGTTTGCATGTTTGCTCACCAATTATCCTCTGGGTTTGATAGGAATTTAAGGGCTATGTTTTCAAAATCATGGGAGGTTGTGATAAGCAAGGATTTCCCATGAAGCAGGGAGTGCTAACCCCTGGCCGTGTTCGTCTCTTGCTTCACAGAGGTTGGTGACTACTTAAAAGTTAGACCATGTTATGCTTTCTAAAATCGTTAAACATTCTTGGTAAATATTGGTCACTAAAACTTTATTGCACTACTCTTGTTTGCTTGACTAACATTAAGATGAATTTCAATTTTGCCTTTACAGGGACCCCCTGCTTCCGTGGATATGGAAGGCGCAATGGAGAACGCAGGAGGAAGTCTGTGCGTGGGTGTATTGTCAGTCAGGACCTTTCTGTATTGAACTTGGTAATTGTGAAGAAGGGTGACAATGATCTTCCTGGGCTCACTGACACAGAGAAACCAAGAATGAGAGGTCCAAAGAGAGCATCGAAGATCCGCAAGCTCTTTAATCTTTCAAAGGAGGATGATGTTCGCAAGTATGTCAACACTTACCGGAGATCATTCGTAACAAAATCTGGTATTACATCCATTCTTATAATGTAATGTTTTTGTAGAAGTCCAAGAGGGGGAAACAAGCAGCTTCCTGGGGTTTGTTTTCCTTCTGTCTAGTAGTATAATGTAATGTCCTGTGGTTCTTGTTTGTTGCAGGAAAGAAGGTCAGTAAGGCTCCCAAAATTCAGAGGTTGGTGACCCCTTTGACCTTGCAAAGGAAGCGAGCAAGGATTTCAGATAAAAAGAAGAGAATTGCCAAGGCTAAGTCAGAGGCTGCTGAGTACCAGAAGCTTCTTGCCACAAGATTGAAGGAGCAGAGAGAACGTCGCAGTGAGAGCTTAGCCAAGAAAAGGTCCAGACTTTCTGCTGCTTCTAAGCCATCCATTGCTGCTTAGATCAACAAATCTCCATAGTTGAGTTTTGGTAGCAAGAGGAATGTCGTCCTGAGTTTTTGTTTTCCAATTTGAATTTGTCATATTTTGAGGTGTTACTTGAATGGTTTTCTAAGTGCTTTGACACTAGGCTCTTTGGATGTGCCATGATGTTATGACTCTCTGCCATTATCATATGGAATATTTTTAAGATTTGGTATGATTAGTTATGCTAATACGCTGCTCAATATGGGCTTTTGCTCTTCCAGTTCAGAGTATTTTTGTCAGCAAAGTTGAATGTCAGGTGGTACGTCCTGAGTGTTTGTTTTGGGTATGGATTTGAATATTGGAGCTCAGCTTAGTTAACTAGTCATGGTGTACTACTTCATGTGGAGTTACTGAAGGTTCGTTGAGGAGTCGTACAATTCGCAAAATAATGAGTACCAACACTAGTTGCTGGCTTGGAGTATTCGTCGAGTTTTGAATCAGTGCACTGTAATTTGTAGAGCATTGCAAAGTATTAGGATGCACTATCCTGCGCTGACAAGTCGATCCACTTCGATTGCCAGTGCTCTAATGGGGCAGAGTGGAGACTCTCAGCAGCAAGATGGTAGTTTTGTTAGGTGGTACTTGTTACATCAGAAGACAGGCTATAGGCTCTTTCAGCATAATATTCGAAAGCACAAAATCAGGCTAAACAAACTCTGCTGGCAATGAAGAACAATCGACAAAATTCTACCTTCAGTGGACGGCAAATTCTATTATGCCTTAAGGGGACGCTGTGACGCGGAATTTATGATTTGTATGTTCTACAAAATTTTCACCGAATACTGCAAAGCACACTACATTATACAATTTGGTAATTTGGTTACTGGATGCAGCAATTTATTAACTGAACCACATATAATCACTTTCGGTGATTGTATAATTGAATTTTTTACTATAAAGCAACGAATATTTCGCAGAATTCAGTTGCAGTTTTGCAAGGGATCAACCATAAAAACTTTACGTAAGACTTTGTAAGATAGGCAAAGTGCCAAATGGTGCCAGTTGCCATGGTTTATCTGACCATTCACCAGTATATTTGATGAAAACCTTTCGGTATTCAAACTTAGGGTACTGATACCTACATTTATAAATTTGTAATTGATTTCATTTTCCAAAGGAGTATACATCCAAATTTATTTCAACAAGCCAAAAACAAATGATATTTCAGCAAGCTACAACTTGAATTGTTAGTTATTATGGGAACCTGTGGACTTGATGCCAACGAATGGAATGTGCCCCTAAGTTAAAAAGAATTAATAGAGACCGTACATGTCCAGTGCCAGCCTCAATATGCAGAGCTGCGACTATAAAATAGATGAGACAGGTAGGTCCTTCAAGCGACACTTTTATAATTATTCAGTTCACCCCACACTGCCAGCTCAACTTCTTCCCATGACTTAGCCATTCTGAGTTCCTTCCAAATACTGAAAATAGCTCCCAAGATGTTCTCTTCATGTAAAATACAGTAGCACCTACAGACATGCAATGACCCACAAGAACTATATCTTCTCAAATCGTGCTCCATTTATACCATACAGTAAGCATGTGAGAATACTTGCATAGAAGAGAAACTGGTATCTACAATTACATATTGATTTATTCATACATCCACTGTTGACATGACTGTTGAACTGGGCTAAATTTCAAGAACTTTCTTTGATGGGTATTTAATAGCAAACTTCTATTGCTGCTGACAAAACATGTGACAGGTTTTGCTTTCTTCCATCAATTCAAAATAATTCTCTTTCTTGACATGCTAGAGCAGTTCTTGCGCATGAATGCCTGGTTTCTAGACATTTCTTTACCACTACATCACTTAACAAATTGGTATATACTGAAAAGATGAGGTTAACATCTCAAAATGATATTCTAACATCAACCTACAATTTTTAATAACAAGTTGAGGGCCATGTAGTGTGAGAAAGAGGTAAGAACAAATAGAAATCATTTACTTACATTGCATGGTATGAAAGTCTCCCAAACTTGTCACCACCATCAGTTGATTCCTCCTGGTTTCTTATCAAAAAAGGTAGTTTATAGCTCTCTAAGAAAAGCTTGAAGAGACTGGGATCGCCTCTAAAGATATCCAAGTATATCGGTATCACATCATAAATGCGGTCACCTGTAAAAGAAACAATCAATTCGATGATGAGAAATGTCCTAATCTTTTAAGGTGCAAGTCAATTTTTGGTTCTCTTAGTCTGTCGAGATATTTTCAACACATGGAATGTGAACAGGCACTAGGCTTAAGTACTCATTATTTGATGCTTTGAAGTTCAAATCCTCAGATCCAATTAGCATTTGGAATTTATTACTGCAAAGATGGCTTCCATTGCCTGATTAAGGCACTAGCAAACGTTTTACAGTTCCAATTTTTCAAGACTTCAAGTTCAGAGTGAAGCTATATAATTTCGCATTGGTGTAAACAGATTCTATCATTCTACATACACACATGCATGCATTGTCTGTGTGCACGCGTGCAAGGCACATATGGAACAGAAATAGCACTAATGGGAACAACATTGCTACATTGAAAGAATCCACATATATAAAAAGGAACTCAACTAACCAATAGAAAGATTACTGAAATCAAGAATGTGGCTAGGACGCCATGATTTATCAACATCACTGTCACTATAGCCGCCAATGCAACCATTGTCTGCCAAACAAGTATCCGAAGCATTGCCCCCCAAGCATGAGCTATTCCCATACAGTTCCATGTGAACATTGTCATCCATAATATCTAAGTGTATCCAGGAGCAAGGCTTACAGATTCTGTTCATGCCATTTTCATCCTATAATCAAATAGTAGTAAGATCACACAAATCAGCAGACTAGATATGCATCTACTAAAGGGGAAACCTTCCAATCTAAGCAACATCAATAGCAGTAAAATGAGCCAAAAAAGAAAGAAGGGAAAAAAAAAAAAACAGTGGGATCTGGAGGAACCTGGTATGTATTGAACAGCTTTGTAAAATCATCAGGGATGTAATCATCAACTTTCTCTATCAGGGCTCTAGGAATGGGATCCCCCTATGAAATGAAAATGTCTGTTTCAGAAGGGAATCAAGGAAATCTATCACACAGTTACATACGTTCGTTATTCAACTAAAATAACAACAAATTTGTTTCCTGATACACATAGGCTTACCAATCTGTCAAACGGTTTGTGACATTCATCTTTCTCCTGTATAGAGTTGTGACGAAGATTTTCCATTCTGCAGGAATGTCTGGTGAGGGAATATCCTCCATATAACCATCAGCAGATGGCGACTTTACTTTTAGTGCAATATCTGAGAAAGTTGACTTCTTTAAAGATGGATAGGGTAAGAGATGAAGGTTGCGCAGCTGCTCACCCAAAAAGGAAGTCAAGTTTAATGCCTCTTCCCATGACAACATATCTCTTCTGCCATAAGAATAGATATAAATTGGTAGCAATGAGAACGCATCAAAGATGATTCTAAAAGTTTGCAAGTTGTGCCACATTAAGACCTATAGAGGAAACTACCATAGTTAAGAAAACTTACAATTGAGCAAATATCTTTCCTTTGCATCTCCTTGTTATGATAAATGGCCATATGCTTGTGCATCCAGCAGAATTTATTGGCTCATTCATTGGCAACCCGGCTTTTCTACATTCAAGTTGTTTCTTGCCCCACACACCAAAAGGGAAATCATCTTCTTTGCAATTTTCTGGAATCAGATTGCAGTTACCAATCACAATAGGCACTCCTTTGCCATCCCAAGGCACAATTTTAAGAGCTCCATTGTCAAGATAAAGAATCCCACTTGCCAAAACTTCAGGAACATGATTTTTCAGAGGGGAATTAACTTTGGACAGCAGACTATAGAACTCAAGCTGCAAAAAAGCAATGCAAATTAGAGGATGGATCCAAACAGGATAGTAGACAAGGGGTAAAAATATAAATTATACCTCAGTGCCTAAAGCATGCATTGTAGCTTCCAACCCTCCTTCAACAAAGATCTTAATTGCAGAGTCAGCTAGGAGATAAACCTGCCATGGTATAACAGTTACTGGCAACCACAATATAACTACAATTTTCACATTACCATATATTCTAACGATTTGATATGTCACATTCCATTGCTTTTAGTAAAAGCTCACAGAGCATAGCTAATGATGTGAGTTCAGAAGCTGTATTTTCTTATCCCTCACACAAGGAAAACCAAACTACATATTGCAGAAGACCCAGCATTTCTAAGAATTAAAATCTTAAAATCTGCTTTTGTGCTCATATATAGCAAATTTTCAGTTCTGAGATGACTTGTACAAACAAATTCAACCAATTAATCAGATAATCAATAAGAAATTGGTTCTTCACTTGCATGAAAAAAATATAATGCAATGATCTTAATGAATGTGTGTGTGTGACACCATTCCTAGGTACATCTATTTTGTTTTGTGGATGCACAAGATTGTATGTGTCCTAATCTTTGTCACTCCATTAAATGATATAAAATTTCCTGCTGCAGCTATACTGATTCAGTAGATGGATCCCTGAACATCCGGATTTTATACCAAGTAAACTCATCCATAGCCCGTTGCATTGAATTATCAAATGTCACTTTCAGCATTTCATCAGGATTTTATAAAGTTGTAGAAAAATCAAATTTGCAAGTAAAGAGAATATAAAAGAACTTTTATTTCAGAAATCCATGCTTCATCACTTACAGGATTGCTACCCGTGCCAACAGGAAGCTTCTCATCAGCTGTTGGAGAAGGCAAATTGTGGAAAGCACAAATTTCTTCCAGGCAATCTAACCATTTGTCCGCTTGTAATGTAAGGCATGCTCCCTAAGACAATACAGAGCAGAAAAGAAATAATATAGCAAGAAAAACAAAGTGGCACCTTAACAATAGCCATAAAGCAAGAACAAAAAGAATCTAGCTAAACATCTAGATTGTCAAGAAAACAATAGATAATGAGCATCAAATAAATTAATTTTTATTTGTGATTTAACCCGTTAATAACTTGTGATTTGATCATTTTTAAAATTTTTGATTAATCGGTCTTGTGTTTGACTTCATATGTCTTATGTACAATTTGACTCCCAGCATTCATTAGTGCCTGAAATTCTTGGTTTGCATCTGATTGCTCAATGTGATGGAATAGACTGTGTGGGCAAGATTCTCAAGTTCAGTCTTGCCAAGGCAGTTATTAAATTCCCAGGGAGGAACAGAACACGTGAAAGATCCCATTACAGTTTTTAAAATCATGTGGCGAATAAGATGGAAATTTACATTTTTTAACTATCATTTCAGCCCTTGCCTCTAGAAAATTACTTCTTAATATCATAGATAAAACTAATAGTCTGGTGAAAAAAAAAAAAAAAGGACAACAACTAAGAGAATGATAGTACCTTCCATACCAGCTCTCTCAGTCCTGGCCTTCCAACCCAAAGCTTTGACAACCATACTCTCATTTCTCGTGGTCCAATGCTGTTGCCTGAGCTCCATGGAGAACTGTAGTGGTCTTTTTCTTTGTCCAAAAACATGGCTAAGAATTTTATATCATAAGAAAACTCTTGTTTCCACATATCGTACCTTTTAGAGGCACCATTAGCAGCTGTTATATATTTGGGATCTTTGCCAGGTTCTTGAACTCTGATCCTCTTCTCTTTCCTTGTTAGGTCTGCATAACTCAGATTGTCTTTATCATATTCCATATTCATTTTGACATCCTCAAGACCATTATCATCAAGAGCCAACAATCCAACTCGGCAAACTCCTTTATGACGATAACCAGGTGCCATATCTAAACATACATATTCAAAGTTTCTGGAGTTCACAAAATTTTGTGTAACAGCAATAGTTGGTTCAAGATTCAGGATGCAGTGCCACCATCCACTTGGAACAAAAATTGTCTCCCCAGGTAGTTGGGTACACTCAATTGGCTTGTCTTCGTCAGCAAGAAGTGGATAAAAATCTAACCACCACTATACAATCGGAAAAACAGAACCAGTAAGTGCAAATCTGAAAAGTTCTTGGGAAAAATACAAGATGAATTGTAAAGGCAAGGATGGCTGCAACACATACCTGCAATGATGATGGTGTGTCGATATTGACATCACCGTCATCTTCATTAACATGCACGGTGACACCTAAAGGTACCCTTCCAGGAGGATACAAGGCCCACCTGTCCAAATTGATTTAGACATATCAGTTATTTCAACCATATGGAAGTGATTGGGAAAGGTGAAACTTATGCAACACAATTGATGAATGAGATATGTGATCAAACAACATTTATTGAAATAGGTTCCAAAACTGATCTTTTCCAAATACATGCCTATGCACTCAAGTAATACTATCCTTGCCTTTAAGGAATAAAATGATTAGTTAAAATACATAACCTCCCAAGAATGCCATGCATTTAAATCATCAGATTCGATTGATCAGAACAGTGGAAAAAGAAAAAAGAAATTTTTGAACGTTAAGCGTACCTTTTACGGCCACATAGAAGAGTATTCCAAGCACTGGTGAGTGCTGGATCAATATGCCATGAGGCACCGGATCTCTCCGGCCCGATAATAAGCCATCTAAATGGTGGTCTCTGCTCTCCATCTAAGACATCAAAGAGGTCTTCTTGAAATAGATGAGGAACACTGTAATCCTTCAACAAGCTGGGTGCAGTTTCCCCAAACTGAAATGAATAGACAGTCAAATAATGCTAACATTTTCATCCTTGTAAGGGAGAAGAAAAGGGAAAAGAAAATATTACTGCCACAACTGTACCTTGTCATCAAAAATATATAGGGGATCCTCATCATGCTGAAGATTCATGTATGATACATAATCTTTCATTTTCATTGAGACTTTCTTACAGCTCCTCTGAGAAATCCTAAAAGCAGTATCTCCGTATTTCAGAGAAAGCTGGTCAATTGTCCATGTAGTCCGTGCTGGCCATGTATCAGCCAATCCAGTAAGCAAAACCTGGTAAATAACAATGCCCCAGGAAAAAAATTTAAAAGATATTATTATTGATATAAGAACCTAAACAAATTGAAAATAATCAGAGAACATCTGTCATAGGCAAACAAGCTGCAAGTTTTTCCAGTTTTTTTTAGGCACCAAACCTCATACATAATTTGATAATAAATCTCAGGAAGAAAGATATGAATGTGATTGTTTACAATAGCCTAGCCAACTCAGAAAAAGTAAAAGCATGATTGAATAAATAAACATCTATGAAGTTGGAGATCTTTACTATATTTTCATTGTACTCTTATTTAAGGAAAAAGGACATTCATTTTCAGCACTTCTTGAAACACTAGCTAGCATGTCTTGTAACCACAGTAAACCGACAAATGCCAGAAACAAGGAGAGGAATCATTGACAGTGGCATGAGAGCATAATTGCACTATTGGCGACAACACCAGAAGTCATGTTGCAGCACCCAACACATGTATTTCTAGTCATATTAGCATCAGTATTGTGAAAGTTAAAAGCCGTAAAAAATGCAGCATTAGCAGTAGCTGGTGAATGCTGATGGTGTATGCAGATAGTAGTAATTTCACAATAGAGTAGTATAACTGTGGTAAAGATAGTTATAATAATTTGGTGTTTATACTAGCAACATTGGCAGCATAAGTCCAGGTGTGCAGATGGAAGGGAGGCAGCAACAACTGAAATATTGCTGTAACAGTCACAGTGGACTTCTTATGTTTATGAGAGAATATAATTCTCACTGTATCCATTCAAAGTAATACACTGAATCCAAAAATCAAATATTTCCTCATACCGGTTTTCTCCCATCATACTCTTGAGAAAATTCTTCCAGAGAGATGCCTTGCTTTCTTTCCACATTGCCACCATCAAAATTAAACCCATCCAAAGTCGTATGACATCTATATAATCTTCTATACAAAAACAAAGAGCTGAACCCTGCAACCAAGCATAAAAGAAATATAGTTGAGCTAAATAAGAGTCCTATAACTAACATGTCACCGATATAAAATTCAAGAAACCATGCCATCACCATAAGAATCTTACCATTAAAATGAAGTGGTTTTCCGCAACGTTCTTGATATTCTTCTGGAACATTCTCTCTGAAAAACAAAAACAATCAGACAATGATAGCGCTACGAATTCAAGCATTCTTGTTTTCAAATTCTAAATAAATAATAAAAAGAAACCAGCATATATGAAGCATGAATGTTTAGACATACAGATGCAGTGCAGTTTTTTTCCAGGAGCCTTCATACTGAAGCGGACCGTTGACCCTGTTAAGACACAGACTCATCCACAGTGGTTCCTCATTGCATAAAATGTACATCACACTGCGTATATCAACCAAAAACAACAAAACAAAATAAGCAATAACAAAATCAATCAAAAATCAAACTGATTTAATTCTCACGAACTAAAAACAGAAACGTCAGAAAAATTACCCAAAACAGAACCAAAACTAATACAAATTAGATCAGAGAACAATATATATATATGGGCAAACCTGCTAACACATGCGAAGCGAGAGACATCGCGAGGAGTGAGATTGTCTAAAATAGAGCAGATAAGTTCATCGGGGAGGACTTGAAGATTGCCTAGAGCTTCAGCTCTGCGATCTTTAATTTCTAAAGCCTGAACTTGAGAAATATCCATTAGCGAATCTAGAAATCAGAAATCGTTTGACGTTAGCTGTTTGTCCTTATAAATGTTTCCGCGTATTTTAAACGCTGCGTTTGGAGGCAGAAGGCCTTCTGCTCGTGTGTCTTATCCCTCCTGGCCTGCTTGCTTGTGCGCGTAAACTTCACTCCACGCGTGACGTTTCTTTATTTGTATTTCCACGAAGGAAATGGCATTGTTTCCCTGCGTGGGAAATTAGCGTTATACCCGGGCGCGCTTGTTTCTCTTTTGATTTCTCTTTGCCATTTTCTACTTAGATTAATTAAATATTTGAGTTTGCTGACTTTTTAATTTTTTCTATTCTACTGTCCTCGTTTTAATTTCTTTTATTTGAACGTATAAATTTTTTTAAAAAATTTAATCAACTATCTTTAGTAAATTCATACTGACATAGTTGTTAAATTGACTATTGGTACATTAATATCTATATCGTGTGTGTATAGACACTTTATTTTATTTTTAATTGTGTATCTATATTTTTTTTAACTTGAGTATATGTATTTTTTTATTTTATTTGAATATATATATATATATATATATATATATATATATATATATATATATATTTTAGTTGATGTATTTTTAAAAAGTTATTAATGGTTGCAATTAATTTTGAAATTTAGCTAATATCCACTTTGCATAAGTAAAATTATTATCAATTGCTATATTTTTTACTCAATTCAATAAAATTAAAAATTAAAACAACAAACAACAATAACAATCTATTCAATTTAAAACACACACATATATATATATTGAGAAAAAAAAACATATTACTCAATTTCCTTCCTTTTCTCACAAACTAAACAAATTTCCATCACTAACTTTAAAAAGTTAGAAAATAGCAAACTTCACCGCAAAACAAAATTGATTTTTTTATACAATCTCGTATATTTCAGTTTTTCAATAAAATTTTTAACCTCTCACACACTCACACTCATATATTTCATACTAATTTTCATCAAAACTCTAAAATTTTTGTAGTTATTTTGTTGATTCTATTTTTATTTTCTTTTCCTCATCTAGTCAGTTGTGATCGATACAAATTTATTTTTTTTAACATCTATTAGTACGTTTTTTAAGTTAAATAATTATTTATCTACATTGTTGTTTTGATTTTTAATTTTATTTAACATAATTAAAATATGACATACATAAGATTGTAAAGTAGATATTCGTTAGACTTTAAAATTAACATGGGATTTAAAAAAAAAAAAAACTGTAGACACTCAAATACATAAAAATAAAATATGTACATTTAACTGAAAAAATAGAAGTACAGACATTGATTATCAATAAAGGAAAACATTTATGCTTACTTGGTAGCATGCTGACATATCGATCATTTCAACATAAATTTAATAAAAACATTGAATTACAAAAAAAATTGAAAACTCACACTCTTAAATAGAACAAAAGTTTGCAAACTAAATATCTAAGAATCTCATATTCTACCGAAGAAATCAAGAAATAGCTTTGTTTCTACGCGCAGGATAACAACGCCGGGTGATGGTGGGTCCTCCTTGTGCCTGGAAATATCAAATGTGGTCATTTAATTGTATTTTTATTTTTTTATCATGATGCTTTCAATTATCTTTTACCCTTTAAAAAGGGATTAAAAAATGTTTATTTTAATAAAAAAGATAGTGGGAAAGAATAGAAGAAAATATAGAATTTGTTAATAATCACACTCAGTTATAATATGCCATGCCATCATCGTATTGAACGCCAATTAATAATTAAGATACCAGTCGGCATGATGTTTTTATTTTTTTATTTTTATCTTGACATGATCGTTTAATAGAAACCGAATAAATTATAAATTAGTTCCTCTAGTTTTAAAAACTAATTAATTAATTTTTTATTTAAAAATTAATTATTTAATTTTTGAAATAAAAATAACTAACTAATTCATTTTTTACAAATAAAGAAATTAATTAATAATTTACTGGAAACGATACTGTTCAACATTTAAAAAACATAGAATAATAATAATAATAATAATAAATGACAGGAAACTAATGGAATCTCAAATCGACGGTACATCAATGTGTTACAACTGAATGTAACTTCTACGAGATAAGATAGATTTAAGTATTAGGATTCAAATCCAAACATGCATCTTTGGATCATAAATGTGTGTTGATATTTTTTTCGTTTTTTGGCAAAGAGGGATAAGAAAAACACAACTACAACCTACTACAACCTAGTAAAAGAAACACCTAAAGCATCTCTCAGCAATAGATCACACAACTCGGAGGCGTAGAATACCAGACTTGAACCTTCCCTGTCGCCTCTAACTTAGCGAGAGTTTCAGCATATCGGTTGACTTCTCGAAGACTAAGAGTATGAAGCATTTGACAATCACAATGTCTTAACTCTTCAATTCAATAAGAGCACGACAAAAGCGAAAAGAGTTCTTGGCAAACATCATAACTACCTTCCCATCAGCATCTCATGACTCTGAGCAATCCGACCACTAGATGTCTTAGATTGAAGATGAAGAAATATGCAACATACGAAAAGGATGAAGATCTTCTGTTTGGCTGGTCTAAATTTTCTTATCTGGATTTGAGGGACATTATAGATTGATAAAAATAATGAATAAAATACATAGAAGGAACAAAGGAATCCCCTCCTACTGTAACCCCGCCTTTCTAAACGAGATTATCAGCAGGTATCCATTTGACATAGTTCAGCGGAGATTACATAAATATAATCCATAAAACTCACTAGTGTTCATTTTGAAATGCAGTCTTTTAACTCTCTCTTTATTTCCATGTTCTTCAAAGTCTCAAACATCAATGTCTTCCAGCATTCACATACATGATACAACACAACATAAATTAACTCAAAATTCTGAAGGATCATATACATAATACAGCCACTAAGAACTTTGTAAAAAGTACGAATATATATAGTTGTGCCTTGGGAGGCAGCCATTCTACAGCAATGCGGGTGCAATGGAAGATTGTGATCCAATCCTTCTCTTTCTAAGGCGCTCTGCAATGATGAATGCAAGCTCTAGAGATTGTGAAGCATTGAGCCTAGGATCACAGTGGGTGTGGTAGCGTGAACTCAAATCATCGAATGTCACAGTCCGTGATCCACCAATGCACTCAGTCACATTCTGGCCTGTCATCTCTAGATGAACTCCTCCTGGGTGGCTTCCTTCTTGCTCGTGCACATCAAAGAAGGCTCTCACCTCCGCCTGTCCGAATAAGGATGAAAAAAAATCAGGGATAATGCCATCATGCAAACCTCTGTTCTACAAAATAGGGTTTATATGATATCGAGAAGGATAGTATTTGCATCGAATTTCTATTTCTGAAAAAGGTTTCCTAACAATAGCATCAACAACAACCTTACAACTACCAGATCTCTCAAACTGACCCATCACAAGGGTCCAGGAATTCATCCCCACAGATTGACAGAAGCACAGAGCACAGTGGAAAACAACATCTGAGGAACATCAGAATTCTTTATTGCAAAATACATTTCGAAGTCAACTTGCTGATAAATATCTACATGCCTACCCACCAAAGGCATGTATTGCCTAATTATTGATTACCTTCTTAAGGAATCTGGTCCAATTATTCTACCCCAACGCCTCTTAGAAGCAGTCACTTTCTCACCTACCAATTCAGCTCAACTAACACTCGGTCACAAACCATTTAAGACTGGCTACATAAATCCTTTTTCTCCATTATATTCTGTTTAGTGCACTATCCCACCTACCACACCTAATTTTTATTGCCTTCACGTTTATCAATTCTAGGCAATCAAGTAGGCTCTTATTCAAAGCCACCGAATGCCCCACCATTTTCAACTTTGGAAGTAGTTCCTCTACCTCATGAATGCGCGAAAATTGATTGCACTCCTTAAAAAAATATTCAATTGCAAGCAGTGATTGGTAAGTATGACCCGTTTTACAAGGATAAGATCGCAAATTGTTTCTCCTATGAGTTACTATGAGTTACCACGAAAGCTAAAGCAAAAAATGCTAATTTAGAATATATAGTCCTACAATAATGAACCAACGAAAAGAATTCTATTCTCTCATTTCCTTTATTTCACCGCTTATATTCCCTTGTTTTATTTGATTTTTGCATAATTGCTTGTGCTTTAGTCCAAACAGCCCTTGATAGCACAATTTAAACTCATTAAACATTCTTTCACCTCCTCATATGAAATCCACAAATAATGCTAATCAATTAACACAAGCTAAGATATAAGCATCATACCCTGATGGAATCGAATGGGCGAGTTTTCAGACCACATGGAGCCTTTATGGTGTTTCCATGCATAGGATCACTGACCCATGTGACAATTTGCCCAGCCCTGCGAACGGCCCTAATTAGATGGGGAAGCTTGACTCTCATGTTCTCAGCTCCCATTCTATTAATGATTGTTATTCTGCCCAGTTTATTCTGAGGATTCAAAATCCCTATGAGCTTAACTAGCTCATTTGGATCCATCTTATCACTGACCTGCAGCACAAAAGCCAAATTGCATAAGAAAGTCAGAGCACCAAATGCATGTATCAAATAACAAAAAGAAATTTGAAAAATAAGAATAGTGATATTACAATGATCCATTCAGATTTAGTTTATTGCCAGGTTCAAATTTGGATAAGGATTGCATAAAAAGAAGAAACAAAATCCCATGAGCATAATTACAGGAACACCAAATTAGGCCATCATCTTAAAAATATGCACTGATTAATTAATATAAGGAATCTTGATAACGTTATATGGTCAAGATCACAGTCAGAAACGAAAAAAGCCAGAAACAAAAACAACCAAGAACAATCTCAACAAACAAGGGCAGACAATATTTGGTCAGTGGGGTAAATTTACTCCACCAAGCTTTGGAAAATAATACATAGGCTAAGATAGAATACTTGTGGGCATTTTTATTCAATAGACCGAATAAAGTAACAACTCAAGTGACAAGACCTTTGTGTACTTAAAGTATTATGTTTTGACTTCTATTCCAAAATTCTGAACTATTCTAAGAGTTCTGTTCCGAGTATTTTAGTATTTAAAACCATTTTGATAAAAAATAAAAAATTATTCAATGATCCCACTGGGAAAAAAAAAAAAAAACTCCTATCCATGTCACTGCTAACAAATCAGTTTGGAGCAACATTTTGTAAAGTTAGGTCTCATGAACCGGTTCTCCCTGATTTTTCTAGCAACCAGAAATGAATTACTGAAACATGAACTGGCTAACTAGATTTAAAAAAAAAAGAAAAAGAAAAAGAAAATCAAGTTAACCTTAATTCCTAGGGGATTTGCAACTCCTCTCAAAAACTCGACATGAGCACCATCTAGCTGCCTGGTACGTTCACCAACCCAGATAAAATGGGCTGAGCAATCATAGTAGAGACCCGAAGTTGAATCCAGCCTAGTAAGTGATTGCTCATATGGCAATAGCAAGCACTCATGGGATGTCCAGAACTCAGTTGTTGTCATAATAGGATGGTCAACAGTGAGACCAGCTGCTGCCATGAATCCAAGGGCCTCATCAACTCGGTGGGCAAGTTCCCGGTACCTATCATATGAAGACAAAGATAGATAGATAGATAGATTACAGAAGCAAAATCTGACCCAGGTATGATATGAAAATTAGTAATGAACTGAAATTATTTCCATTGAAGATAAACATATCATAGAAGCAATATCTAACCCAGTAATGGTATGGATTTAGATGAATTGAACTCATTTCCATCCAAGATTCTAGTGATTACTTTCAAGAGAACCCATCATAACTAAAACACGTGAATTAGAAATTACAGCTACAAAAAAAGAAGGCTACATTTTTAAACAAGTTTAAAAGGGGAGTTATTGATAGCATGGCAAAAAGGAAATAAAACCCATCATAACTCCATACAACAGCAAAACCATTAAATTGATGAACACGTGGAAAGAATCTTAGAATCTAAATTCTCAAAAGGCCAATCATGGGAGAAAGATAAACAACGACCTTGTTTGCCTTGTGCGGATAATTCAGGTATAGATAATTGTGATGGCGAAACTTGCTAATGATATTGATCAAATTATACCCATGGAGTAAATATCACTATCGAGTGCATGCCACCAAAGGTGGATGAGTTCCGGAAGGACCCGACCGGTTGCTCTGTTACCAAAAATTAAGTGTATAAACTACTTCATCTAACTCTAAAAAAGCAGCAAGCATAAATAACCAAAATAAATTGATTCTTCGAAAAAAGAGGGCTTTTTATTTGTCTCTATATGAAAACTCTCTCTAAAAAGCATCATAACCAATCTAAATATCAAATAAAACAACAAAAAAAAGAGATTCCAAATTTAAAATATTTACCTATCTCCCTGCTCACTGTGCTCAGTGAAATCCAAATTCCACTGAGTTACCCTCTGCATAGCTGCATAACCACCAGTAGCAAACGCCCTAAGAAGATTCAGAGTAGCTGCTGATTGACAGTAAGCCCTGATCATCCTCTGTGGGTCAGGTATCCGTGACTTCTCATCGAAAGCATCTCCATTCACGTTGTCTCCCCTGTAACTTGGCAGTTTCACTCCATCCTTTTCCTCAAATGGATCCGATCTCGGCTTCGCAAACTGCCCTGCCATCCTCCCCACCTATAAAACAGCATCCACACAGTTATCCAAATTTAGTAAAAACCAATTCTTCAATATGAAAAAAGGGCAATCTCTCATATGAATTCAATTAAAAAAAGAAACAGACCTTGATAACCGGCATTTGACCACCGAACATCAAAACAGCACCCATTTGGAGAAGAATCCTGAAAGTGTCCCTAATATTATTGGCATTGAACTCTTTAAAACTCTCTGCACAATCACCTCCTTGCAACAAAAACGCATTGCCCATAGCAGCCTCAGCGAGCTTCTCCTCTAAACTCCTGGCCTCACCAGCGAAAACAATTGGAGGGAACGCATCGAGAGTTTTGAGAACCGAATCAAGCTCTTCTTTGTTAGGATATTCAGGGAGTTGCAAGGCCTTCTTTGATTTCCAGCTTTCAATAGTCCACTTTCCAGTCCCCACATTGGTTGTTGGTGCAACGGTTGCTGCTTTAGTGGATGTTGCTGCAGGTGTTTTAATGGGTGGTGGTGATTTGGAAGGATCAGCGGAGTGGACAGCGGAGATGTGGAGGATAGATCTGGAAGGTTTGGTGGTGAAGAAACAAGGTTGGTGGGGGTTGTTAGAGGGGATTAAGGTTTTGGTAGGAATTATGGAACTGCTAGTTAAAGACATTATTATCGTTGCTGTTATGTTTTCTTTATGATTTTGGAACACCAAGGGAGGGATTTTTGTTTTGTGTTTGTGAATGGCAGAGCGGGAGAGGGGGTACCTGCAGAGGAGATTGACAAACAGATGAGGATTTTATAAGGATGTTTGGTTTGGTGTGAAAGAAGAGACAAACGGACGCAAGAGAGCCAGAAAGGGGTGGGGGAGTCTGGTAAGAGACCTGGGGGTGGTAGTTAAGGGTTTTTTTGGGAAATACGGAAGGTTTTCGGGGTGTATTTCTGGGAATTGGGAAAAAGTTGGGAGGAAAGTCAATTTAATTTGTCTTGGTTTAGGTTAATTTTGTTTATTACGGCTTCTTCACCGACTATTCGCCGCTTATTAGAGGCAGAGCTAATGGCGGCTGGCTCGATAGCTCTTTCTAATGAAAAAAAAATACTTCCTTTTATCTAAAATTAATTATGATATATATATATAATTAATTAATTAATTAAATTGCATGTATTATGATACGTGTTATTAATTATGATAAGTATATCTAATTAATTATAATGTGTGTTATTAATGTGATCCTTTCTCTGTCTCTTAAAGGATATTAATTTGCATCGTTGAGAAAAAAATCAAGAAAAGAAAATTATTTTTGTTATGAAATAATGAATTACTATATGAATATTCATATGTTTTTCATATCCTTACTATTCATAATTATTAATGTGATTCAATTCACCATTCAATATGAGAAATTAAAAGAGTGTTGTAATTGATTTAGTAATTTATGTATTTTTAATTATTCACAATCCCTTTCAATTTTTTTTTATTTTAAAGCCAATAAATAGGTTTGATTGTTCATTAATTGATATATAAGTATTTTATACAGAATGAGAGAATTGTGTGGAGTTGTATTTACTTTATTTTACGAGTGAATTGTTTTTTTTATCATCTTTCTCTTTAATTTTAATATTATTATCATTTCTTTTATAATACGTTATCGAGCACAAAACTCTAACTAATTGAGATAATGAACCATGAGGTATGTGTCTACCAAAAGATTCAATCATTTTTTCAATCATTGAATTTGTTTCTTTATGAGTGCTTTACCAAAAGATCTAAATTATCTAGATCATCAAGAAGTATACATCTAATTTAAATCTAATGATATGTTGAAGATACGTTTAAAAAACTTGAATGATTTAATATATAAAATCTCATGATCTAATGTATGTTGTTTGAAAAACTTTAATTTTATTATTATGTTTGTTCTTATTTTCTAACATTATTATTATATATTACATAATAGAATTTTTAACATATCAAACCTCATAAAATTTGATTTTGTGACCCTTGATACTTTGGGCAAGAATTATTGATCATGAGTGCTTGATGCATAGTAAAAATTATCTACTTTTCACGTCTCGAAGATACTCCTGCAGTAGCAATATCGAGAAACAGATTTTAAGAAATATTCTGAATCGATTTCATACTTATCCGTGACTAAATAAAATAAAAAACTATTTATGAACAATAATAAATCCCATCAAATTGGATCTACTTCATTCCTTAAAGTGAGTGTGACAACTTATAATAATTTTAGGTATGAATGAATATATGGTTATAGTCATGGACGTGGTCAAAATAATTAACATTATAATCGTGATGACTATAATAATATATCTCACCACTAAAAGTGGATAAACTATGAAAAATACAAAAAAATAAATAAAATGGATCAAGTTAGTATTCTGAAAAATAATGTTATAAATGTGATGTGAATGGACATTGGTCACATAAACCAAAACACCTTACTGAGCCTTATCAAGCTTTGTTGAAAAGGGAAGATTAAAATATAGAGACCACTTTTATACATTAGAATAATCATAATTGAGATCAATTACTTGTTAGTTTTTTTATTATAAATAAATTTTTTTGTATTTTTTTTATAATTCCTATCATATAATAATAGTTACAAATTTATTTTTCTATATATTTATTTATTTATGAAAGAATATATTTATTTATTTATTGTTCATTTATTTAATTAATTATCTTGTATTAATATTACATTTGATTGTATCAATCTAATAGAAGGCTTAAGAAGAGCGAATGTATTATTACCCAAAGAGATAAATTTTGGAGGCTTTAAAAAAATGAATATATTATTACTTAAAGATATAATCTTTAAAAACTTTAGAAGAGAAAATATATTATTATTTAAAGTGGTAAAATTTAAAGGCTTCTTAAAGGAAAATATGTTATTATCCGAAAGGATAATTTTTATTAGAAAGGATGTACTATTTTTTCTAAAGTCTCATTGAAATTTGTTAAGTCTCAAAAATATTCATCTGCATTAATATCATACCAAGACAACAAATATGAAAAATATTGAATACTTATATATTATAAGTATTATATCAAGTAGAAAACATGTATTGAAAAGTTTACTCGCTTTCTCTTAAGGTTTTTATTACAAACATTTGAAGGAATATATTTATTTGTTTATTTTGCATTTATTTAATTATTTAATTTGTATTAATGTTATATTTGATTATATCAATATAATAGAAAGCTTAAGAAGAGCGAATGTATTATTATATTAAGAGACAAATTTTAGATTTATTTTGTTAGTTTTTCTAATTATAAATAAAATGTTTTATATTTTTTTATAATTTATATCATATAGTGATCGTTACAAATTTATTTTGCTATATATTTATTTATTGATGAAGGAATATATTTATTTTTTTGTTTTAAATTTATTTATTTATTTATTTTACATTAATATTATATTTGATGTATCAATCTAATAGAAGACTTAAGAAGAGCAAATGTATTATTACATGAAGAGGTAAATTTTTTAGGCTTTAATAAAACGAATATATTATTACTCGAAGATATAATCTTTAAAGGCTTTAGAGGAGAGAATACATTATTATTTAAAGTGATAGAATTTAAAGGCTTCATAGAGGCAAATATATTATTATATGGAAGGATAGATTTTATCATAAATGATGTACTATTTTTTCTAAAGTCTCATTGAAATTTGTTGAGTCTCGTAAATATTCATCTAAATTAATATCATATCAAGATAACAAATATGAAAAATATTAAATACTTATATATTATAAGTATTATATCGAGTAAAAAATATGTATTGAAAAGTTTATTCGCTTTCTCTTAAGGTTTTTATTATAAACATTTGAATGATTGAAAAAATGATATAGTAAACCATAAATTTACTAATTTAAATACTTTTATTATGTGACATAACCGGTTAGGCTATCCTAGGTCTTTCATGATGCAAAAAAGTATTGAAAATTCATATAGATATTTATTAAAGAATCAAAAGTTTCTTCAATTTAATGAATTTTTACGTTCTACTTGTTTTCAAGGCAAATTAATTATTAAGCCATCACCAAGTAAAATTGAGATTGAATCTTTGATATTTTTAGGATGTATTCAAAGTGATATATGTGGACCAATTCATTTACCATATGAATTATTTAGATATTTTATGGTTTACATAGATGCATCTATGTGGATCATTTAGATATTTTATGGTTTTAATAGATACATCCATAAGATGGTTATATGTATGCTTATTATCTACTCAAAACCCGATGTTTTTAAGATTGTTGGCTCAAATAATTCGATCACGAGCATAATATTCAGATTATGTTAATAAAAAAATTCGTCTTGATAATGTCGGTGAATTTATATCCTAAACATTAAATGATTATCAATTGGCTATTAAAATAAAGTTTGAACGACTCGTTACTCATGTTCATACTAAAAAATGTTTAGCAAAATCATTTATCAAAAAGCTCTAACCGATAGCTAAACCATCATTTAATAACAAAACTCTCTCGTTTATATTTAGAGACATGCAATCTTACTTATTCATATCGATTTATAAGTTATTCGAAATTCTCCCTCTTTAATTTATTTGTGATCATAAGATAAATATTTTCCATATAAGAATTTTGACGAGTGTAGTATATATATCTATAGTGCTTCTCCACAATAAACTAAAATGGGTACTTAAAAGAGATTATGAATATACGTTGAATTTGAATTCTTTTCGATAATTAAATATTTTAAATCGTGAACAAAAAATATTTTTATAGCTCAATTTACCAACTCGTCATTTTGATAAAATAATTTTTTCAACATTATGGAGAGAGAATAAGCAAAAATAAGCAACTCGAAAATGTTAAAAAAAAAATCACATGGAGTGCTTTATCTTTATATCATCTTGAGAAACTGGTATTGAAATTGGAAGAAAATGTTTGGTATAAGTTAGGTTTACTATTCAACCCAAATAGGAAATTTTAGGATTTATGATTTGGCTTGTGCAATTTGTATGTAATTGAACTTCTAGAATGTCATTTAATGTGTTTGGTATGCTTGGGCATGTTATGGATGATTTTGTGATATTTATACATGTACCGTAAAATATCGTTATTGAAATGCAATGTGAAATGTGATTTGTTATGGTATTTTATGATGATGGTTATGTGATTGAAATACGAATGGTATTTGAGTGATTATATTTGACAAGGTAATGATTGTGGTGTATTTGTATAGTTAAAGCATGCATGGTCTTGGCATAAATGCACATTACATATGGCATGCATTACATGAATTCTTAAGGATATGCATTTACATTAAAAATGCATATGCATGCCAATTCATGAAAAGAATTTTATGAAGATGGTTTAAAGCCATGAAAAACGAGTTTTTATGTCAAAGTTTTTAAATAGCAATTGGAAAACATTTTATGATTATATGATTTTCATGAATTTCATGGTAATGGTTTTATAAACGGGCTTCACGGATTCCATGATTAAATGGTTCATAGTTCACGATTCATGGTTCACAAGGTCGAGAGAGGCGCGGACATGCATTCCTAAAGCTCGACGGGATACACGTCTACGGACTAGTTTGGTTTTTCGGACATAATGTGGAACTCGAAGTTCAAAACGGGACATAGCCACGGACATAAAAGATTTTTC